CGGGTCTTCAGTCACCCGTTTGGCGATGAAGAGGGCTTCCCTATAATCCAGTTGTTCTCAGGTTTCGGAGCGTTGTCCCATTGCAAGAGATCTGGAGGAAGGGTGCGTGAGCGGTGATTAGTCGAGCCGGCCTGCGACAGATCGCGAGGCAGTCCCTTCTTGTTTGAGTGGTCGATAGTATTCTCCTCTGAGATGCATGTATGAGAGTGAAACTTACAGCATCGAAGCGAAATTACCTGAGAGTATGAATGCGAGACTTGATTGGCGGAGCCTGACAAAAGGCTACTCTACTTCATCGTGGTAGACGGACTGCTCGTTGCTGAGTCAGATCGTGTTGGTGATCGCCGAATCTAGGGTGATGTTATCAACGATATGGATGTGACAGAGCAGAGACACGTCCCTCGTGACCCCTTTCCCTTGTTCCTCTGCCTTGGTTCCACCACTTCAATTGACTTCGATGGCTCGCGAAGTCATCGAAATACCCTCCTCACCTGAGGCCTCGCCAGAAGTTCGCGCAAGAAAGCCAGCTCCACCAGGGAGAGCTATTCGGGCGTCGACACTATCATCATTATTGATTCAGACGAAGAAGACCGCGCTCAACGCCAGACGCGTGATCGCAATGCTGTCGCTGGGTCTTCAAAGAAGAAAGAGAATCTTGCTCCTTTGACGCGTAGGGCCGGATCTTCCTCCCGGTCTGCCGATAACATACCCGGCAAACGGGGAGGAAAGAACAAGCCGGAGCCTTTGTTTCTTCCAAGCGACGAGGAGAACGAACCGCCGCCACCAACGACCCAAACACAGCTGACGAGGAGGAGCATGAGGCTGTCGGCGGAACGAGATTTCCGGCGCCGCCCCCTGATCCGGTGCATATTTATGTGGCCCGCGTTCTCGAAATCGTACCGGACGTACTCGAAGAACACGCGTTATCTCTCGTCCGGAAGCATCTCAAGACCGCTGGAAATGGTTTGATAGAAACTGTGATCCATGCACTTTTCGAGAATCCGACTTATCCGCGAGCGGACAGCAAAGGCAAACGTCGTGCACAGCCCAATGAATGTGACACGCAAGGGAAACGAGTGAAACTTGACTACTCTAGCACTGAGAGGGCTATAAGGGTGGGGTTGACTACGAGCAACTTGCCATGGATCAACTCTCGCTGGATTTCCCGCTCATTCCCAGAATGCATATCCGACTTTCCTTACTTGACCACCGTTCACTTTACGCGCCGACCTATCTATTTCTGGAGAAAGAACAGTCCTCCGAAGCTCTTCCTTATACACAGAAGCGCATCCCGACTAGACCTGCGGCGAAAGGCAAGCGGAGGGCCACTCATGATGAAGAATTCGAGAAGGAGAGAGAGTGGATCTTATCCCGTGGAGGAGCTGCGATGACTCCGGTGCTAACTGAAGCTTCGGGTGAAGCTGAGATTGAATGCGGATGCTGTTTCACCGACTCTCCCTTTGTGAGTATCTCAACCCTTCCAGTTCAACACTTCTTCTGACCAATACTCAGGACAAGATGATCCAATGTCCAGATGCACATCTGTTCTGTACGGAATGTATGACTAGCTACGCCGAAAACCTGCTCGGCTCGCATGACCACAAAATCATCTGCATCGATCAATCTGGCTGTAAATTGGCTTTCACGGTCGCGGAACTACGACGCTTCTTGGTCAATCTTTCGATAATAGAGCTAAAATTCTCACTCATGCATTACCCACAGACGCCTCAGCTGTTTTCTCTGTACGAGAGAGTCAAACAAAGCAAGGAAGTTGAGGCGGCAGGACTGGACGGGATCGAAGAGTGTCCATTCTGTGAGTTCAAATGCATCATTGAAAACGAAGAGGCGCGTCCCTTTCACTCTCCGCTTGATCGGGTCTCATTTTCTTCGTTCTCCCCAGGAAAAGCTCTTCACTTGTCGTAACGAGGATTGCGCCGCGGTCAGGTGACCACCTACTTGGCTTTGTCGTTTCTTCTCATGCTGATCTCCATCAAGTTGTAGACAGTGCAAGCAGCTGGTGCGTTCAAATCTCATAACATCTGGATCGTTCACATATCAAAGACCAGGACCACCTTCCCAAGAGCTGTAAAGGTACAAAAGCGCGACGGATCTGGCTATGTTTGCTTATAAGATGACAGAGGTTCAAGACGATAAAAAGTTGGATGCACGTCATGAAATCGAGGAAGCAATGAGTTCGTCGCATGTTCTCTTCTCAAACGTTTACCTATGGGCTTTGCAGCACGCGCGTTGATGCGCAATTGTCCACGGTGCAATAAAGGTGCGCAATAACCCGGGAGCTCAGCTGGATTGAGCCTGATTCGATGCAGCGTTTGTCAAAGACCACGGAGTAAGCATCTTTCTCGCTACTTGCTCAAAAGGCTTGACCTTCTCCAGTGCAACAAAATGACTTGTCCATTTTGTCACACCAAGTCATGTTACCTGTGCCGCAAAGTTATCACCGGCTATGATCATTTCTTGCCACAGGTGCGACGACATCTGTCTCGATCAGTCCATGCAGACTTACGAATTTAGTTTCCGATGCAACCTGGTGGCGTTGGTCCAAGTAGAGTAGACGGCAAATGTGTTCTTTGGGATCCGGTAGATCAGCGCCACGCTGAAGAGGTCGGTCGTGGCTTTTCCTCCACTGAATGCCTATTCAATTATTCCTTGAAGGTCAAGCAAGCAAGAGATAGAGCTTTGAAAGATTTCCGACGACATAATCCTGACACTGATGACGAACATCTGCAAGTGGATTTGCCCGTCGCTCCGCGGGCAATAGATCCTGTAGCCCATCCAGCCCATCCTGTTGCCCCCGGTTTCGGAGGAGCTCATCGCGGGATGGGTCAACATGGTTTTCCCCATCACATGGTGGCACCACAGCCAATGGTTCACAACAATCAAATGGCCCAAATCCAGGCTCAAATCCATGCGAATATGGCACAGTTGCGCGCTCAAATGTTGGCAATGCAGCCGCCATTGCCACCGGTCCGCAGAGCGCCCAGGAGACGAACTTAAAAGTCTGCGGTTTGCCTGATGCTCGTGTCTTTCTCCGTTTTCGGGTGTATTATTACGAGATATATACATGCTACACTCTACTCTTGGGGGATGAATGGACTCCTGCGGTACGCCGGGGATTCAACAATCGTAGGCAGCGTTTTGGCAAGCTTGGCCGTGCCAGCGGGAAACGGCAAGTCGTCGACACCGGTGGGCAAAACCTTCTCGAACAGCCCCTTGGCCTGGTTGTGCGCAGCCGGAGCGAGCATCTTCTTCTTGGCGTCGGACATGAGCACATACGCATCGTCGGCACCGGGGACCGCACCCCGCACAAAGACAAGGTCGAGGCTAGTGTCAATGCGCACGACGGCCAGGTTTTGCGTCGTTATGCGTTTTCCTCCGAGACGTCCCGGCATCTTTTTGCCGGGGAAGACACGGCCTGGGTCCTGTTCGCACAGTCAGTTGGTCAGGCATGCGCGCCTTGCATTGATGGGCTCGCACCTGATGTTGACCGGTCGAACCAGACGAACGATGCGACACGGATACACCATGACTGGCCGCCAGTCCCCCAAAATTCCATCGCTTCATGCCTCCAGCAAAGCCTTTGCCGATACTGAATTACTGCGTGAGCCTCCGTTGGCGAGCATTGTAAGAGATGACCCACCCCTTGGCCACCACGTCCACAAACTGGCCCGGCACGAAATGAATAGCAGAGAGCTTAGTGCCTTGAAACGGTTGTTCAGTGTGCGAAGGATTCCCACAGCGCACCGCAACTTGCCTACTGGAATGTGTGCGTCGGGCGACACAGGGAACTCTCGCACAATCCGCTTGGGCGGCACCTGCGCCTTTCGGAAGTGGCCAATCATTGACTTCGAGAGGGTCTTAGCTGGCCTATCGGTCGCCGCGACTTGTACGGCGTGGTATTCGGTGTGGTCCCTGCGCATGGTTTTTATGTTCGCGGTCACTTGACACTGTTCAAGCTGCCGGACCCTTGTATGAGAACGACCCAGTAGACCTGGCGGCGACTATACTTACCTGCAACACAGTCACAGGTATCCTTGCGCCTTGGTCGGTCCATAGCGAGGTCATGCCGCGTTTTCGTGCAATGACACCCGTCCGCACAGAGTTCGGTGTCCATTTAGGTTTGGACGGAGAGGCTGGCGCAGGCGTCGCAAGTTGCGCGACGCGTGAGGAGTGTAGTCTTCGCACAGAGCCGGCAAGTCGAGGACGCTCAACGAGTGTCCATACGCCGCTGAGCATCGCAGTTGGCAGAGGACAATTTCGTGACAGATTTGATGGCAACAACCAGTTGTGATCGATCCAGACCGAGGAATCTCTCCACCCTTCTCTCCCCCAGAAGTTCAGTTCGTCAGGTCCTGCCGGGCGATTCTGTGGCCACCTACCATAGCACGCCGGGGGCCTTGTGTTTGCTCAGGGCTGGCTCCCATCGCTCTCTAGAGTCGATATTGCTGGGTCTCATCCTGACTCTGACACAAACCGTACTTCATTAGCGAACATGGAATCTGCGGAAAGCAGCATAGAGACGGAATCACTCCCAGCGGTCAAGAACCTTCGCTCCAAGTTCGAGCAACTCTCCAACAGGCCCTCCCCGATTGGACTGGGATTGCCGTCGAATCATGTTCCGCGTCCGCGAGCCACTTCGGGCTCCCATTCTAGTGGCGATCGCCCCCCAAATAGCCCGACTCTCCGCTCCACGAGCTCTTCCTCCGAACTGTTAAGCAGGAAACCTCCCCCACCCCCGCCACCATCGCGGGCGCGGGCGCCTTCCCCCGCAGCATCGCCTTCGCTTCGTCCTGCGTCCGTCGGAATCGATATTCCAGAAGCACCACTCAACTTGCAACCGACTGAACCCATTTCCTCGCCATTTCTGTCTCCGCCTGAGATCCATGTTCCAGACGCCCAGTCCAGTCCCGGAGTGTCAGCGTTACGCAGTCGGTTTGTGTGAATACATGGCGCCGCGCACGCAGAAACAGTATCCTAACGTACTCCCACAGGAACGCACCATCCCCATCACCATCCCCTTCGCCCCTCCGCCCGAGCAACAGTCTTCGTAGACCCCCACCTCCGCGACCGCCCGCACAGCATGCGTTTCTCGGTGAGATGGAGGAGACGTCTTCTCCCCTTCCTCTATCTTCCGAGGACGAATCTGAAATCATCACTTCCCTTGCCAATACCACTGCACCATCACTTCCAGCGCGTCGACCAATTTCCTATCAGCAACCAAGCTCAAGTCAAGAAAGTGACGTCGTGCGCCGGATTCCTCCGCCTCGACCGCCTCGAACTGCCAAGTCCGTAGACTCGACGGTCAAAGGCGCTGAGTTCATTGTCAAAGCACCGCCTCTACCCACTCGGCGTTCACCGGAAGACGCGGTGGGTCCGCCAGTTCCCAATTTGGTCCCTCCTCGACTCCCCATGCGCCCTGCTTCAGTGATCCCAGCGATTGAACCCGAGGAGCGCAAGACACTTTCTCGGCTGCCGCCGCCTCCAACTCGGACAATCGCATTGGGCGACAAGCTTCCGCCCGTCAAGCGGCCTTCGTCGCCATCGTCCGAGGAGGAATCCGCTGACGAAGGCCCTCCAGATCTGCCTGACAGCAGTCGATCGTCGCGGAAGCCGCCTCATCTTTTGTTTCGCGCGGGACAGAATGATCTCAAGATCACTGTTCCCGCGCATTCGGGTCTGGTCATAGTGTCCGGCACACGCATTGTCACAGCCACGAACCACCATATCAAGATCTACGATGTCGCTCAGTCAGACACACCGGTTATCTCGCTAGAAAAGAGGGAGATCGGTCACAGTCAAGGCCTTAAAGAACTGCGCCCAACAAGCATGGAGTATCGCACATGCGGCCGTCCGGGCGACCGTGGATTTTTGTTGTGGATTGGTACCAAAGATGGCCATCTCGTTGAACTGGATGTGCGCACTGGAGTCGTGACTGCTGCCAAAATTGGTGCACATCTCCACCCGATAGTTAGGATATTCCGCCACGGACGAAGCATGATCACCATGGACGACGCTGGGAAGACCCTGCTGTTTGCTCCGTCCGATGACGGAGAGGATATTCAGTTGGCATTCACCCCACCTCGCGTCACTCGTGTGACGGAGAAACAAGATTTCGCCCAGCTGATCTGCGGAAAGCTCTGGACGGCGTCTAGGGTCGACCTGCACGGCTCACGGTTGCAGACCATCCGGGTATACGATCTGTTTGCTCCAGGTGCTCCGTTTCGGGCGGTGGCGCCAACTGAGGCGATCGGCGCCATTACCGATGCTACGATGCTTCCCTCGACGCCGGGCATTGTCTATGCTGCTCACGAGGCAGGGTCAGTGTCTCTCTGGAAACTCGATCAAGATGGCTGGCCGCAATGCATTGACATCGTCCGGGTCGCCATCTCAGACGTGCTGTGCATTGAGGGAGTCAACAATCGGCTGTGGGCTGGGGCCAGGAACGGCGCCATTTCTGCCTACGATGTATCTGTCAAGCCTTGGGTTATCACCAACTGCTGGATGGCCCACACCAAGCTGCCGGTCAAACAGCTTTCGGTCGATCATTACGGGATCGAGAAGACCGGGAGACTGTGTGTGACTAGTGTTGGCCGTGATGAGCATGTCAAGCTATGGGATGGGCTCCTCGCGTTTGATTGGATCGACATCGAACTGATGAAGCGTGAGGCGTCGTTCAGCACGTTCCGAGACCTCAGTGTCCTCATCATCTCGTGGAACTGCGACTCGGCGAAACCTGAATCGCTCACGGGCGACGCAGCCAACATCAATTTCCTGCATGACGCGCTAACGAGTGTGGGGTGCCCCGACATCATCTGTTTTGGGTTCCAGGAGCTGGTCGATCTCGAGAGCCGGAGACTCGTTGCGAAAAACGTGCTTCTGGGACGGAAAGACAAGCAGGACGTGTCCGTCGCACAGATCACAGGATTGTCTGGACTATCCGACAAAGTGTCGACCTCCTATCGCAAGTGGTATGAACATCTTGTGCATGCGGTTCGTCTTGCGATGCCGGCCCAAGTGCCGTACACGGCGATCCACACCGAGAGTCTGGTGGGATTGTTCAGCTGCGTGTTTGTGAAGAATTCGGAGCGGACATCTATCAAGGACAACGTCATCACTTCCATGAAACGAGGAATGGGGGGCAGATATGGTAACAAGGGTGGGATCATCACTCGTTTGGTCATCGAGGACTCGTCAATCTGCTTTATCAACTGCCATCTGGCCGCTGGCCAGCATGCTACCAGAGCCAGAAACGCGGATATCGGGGCAATGCTCGAGGAGCGCTCGCTTCTTCCTGAGAGTGAGCACGAGCCCTTGGCCTATGTCGGCGGCGGGGACGGGCAAATGGCTTTGGACCACGAGATCGTCTTTGTGAGTTCGAGCTTTCTGTTGGTCTTCTCGCGTCTGACTCTCCAGATCAACGGGGACATGAACTACCGTATCGATCTTCGCAGAGACAACATCATTGCGGCCGTCCGTGCCAACGATCTGGACAGCATCCTACCCCACGACCAACTTCTGAAAGAGATCAAGTACAATCGTGGCTGCCGTTTGCGCGGATTTTCCGAGGGCTCACTCACCTTTGCGCCAACCTACAAATATGACCGACACACCGACGTTTATGATACATCTGAAAAGGCGCGTGCACCCGCGTGGTGTGATCGAGTTCTCTGGCGGACGCGATCGCCGAACCGTGTCAAGCAACTGCATTACCAGCGATACGAGGCGAGCGTTTCCGACCATCGCCCAATCTCCGCTGCATTCAAAGTCACTGTCAAAACCATCCACCAAGATGTCCGACAGAAGGCCAAGGCCGAAACCGAGTTGCAATGGGCAGTGGAACAGGAGCGCCTCCTCTCTGTCTCACGTGACTTCTACGTAGATCTCTCCCTCATTTGAGAGACCCTAAGTTATCCGACGGACACCCCCCACGGACCTATTCTATTAATTGTCTGTATGTAGCATACCATCATGTAGCTAGCCACCCAAACGACGTCACTGTGGAAGAACACCCTGTCATCACATATGAGTCCGCGTCTTGTGATTCCGATCCAGTTCTGCACTTGCGTTCAGCATCAGCCTGCATAACATCGCCGAAAAACCGAGCACGACGCGATCGCCGAAACCGAGCTGGTGGTTTTGGTTCCCAGGTCACCGGGCCTTCTGTAACTCCACATCGGCTTCTTGACCTCCTCCGCGCACCAGACCCAATACGCACTGGCCACTACGAAACGAAGATAACTTGGAAGGGCCATTCTGAGCGCGTCCGTCACTTGCATGGATGTAACAAGGTGCACTTTGGGTGGGAATTTGGGCGGAATATCGAAGCCGACGCGGTTTTTAGGCCCAACGACCCTTCCGCGATTTTCCATGATGCCTTGCGAAGTACGTGCTTGTTCTGCGGTGGACGGGACAAGACTATTGACATGAAATACACTCTAGACAATAAGGCCGTCGGTGCGTCGCGCGTTGGCTGGTGTCGTCGTGCGTCTCATCTCTTAAAACCATGTTTTTGCTGCCAGTGTGCGCCTTGTCGGCATCGTACATATCGACTTTCGCGGGCTACCCCCTCGACTCTCTGAAATCAAGACTGCAGACGCAGCGTGTGCCAATTAGTGTCCCGAAGCTGGCTGCGCTCGTGTACCGAGAGGAAGGCGTGAGTCGTGCGCAGCTACTAGGGGAAACACCAAAGAGAGTTTGATATGGAACTAGATTACGGGATTCTATCGCGGTCTGTGGATCCCTTTGTTGACGATATCGTTCGTCCGTGCGTACTGCTCCGTCGCCATTCGCGGTCTGCCCCATCCTGACCTTCAGGTCGTAGGCGCCGCGAGTTTCACGATCTACACGGAGACGAAAGAGTACTTTCGCGTCAATCACTATCTCGACCGTGACCGGATTCTGGATGCGGCGTTGGCGGGTGGTATCGGCGGGGCGATGTCAGGGTCCTTGATTTCGTTCGGCAGTGCCCGTGCGTGGGTTGTTTCGAGTGTTCGTTCTCGCTGCTAACGTACTCGGCTTAGCGTTTGAGTTGGTCAAGGTCGGTCGCTGGGCTTTGGTTGTTGTGAAACAAGTTGCGAATTCAAAGATATTAGGTCCGACGACAGCTCGAGTACGCCATTGCTGCCAGCAAGGGGCAACATCTTGTTAAAGTGAGTAGCGACACCCATGCGCGAACTGAAAGACTGAAGCTTTCTCAGCCGCCGGGAACCGCAGCAGCAGTGCGGTTAGTCATTCTGCTGTATCTCTTGACCATCCCCGGTGACGCTTTCCCTAGAGAGATCTTCAAAGCCAACGGTGTGCGGGGCTTGTACACTGGGTTCCGACTGCATTTCTGTGAGCACTGATTGTTGGCATCTTTGTTTGCGCTGATTCCCATGTCAGTGCGGGACACCCTCGGGACTGGCCTCTATTTTTTCGAGGTAAGCCGGGTAGGGCTGTTGATCGCATGGCTCACTGGGCGATAGTATGACGGCATGCGACACCTGCTAGGTCGACATCGGTGAGTGCCCGGGTGGAGAGGCTGTCGCCCACTTGAATTTGACTTGTCTCTTTCAAGAAATGGCGAGCAGGGCTCCACTCCATCATGGCTGCCTGTGCATGCTTCCCTGGTTCCATTTGTCTGCGGCTCGGTTTCTGGCGTGAGATTTCACCTTGCTTCCCTTAGCGTGCACTGATCGTATCAGGTGACTTCATGGGCTCTGATCTATCCGCTCGACGTGTGAGTATGACCGAGCACATGCGGTGGGTAAACTCACCAGCTTTGTAGCGTGAAGACAAAGATGCAGCAACGTGCTCTTGCCGGAGAGCGCTACCGCAGTGTCGGGGAAACATTCTTCCGACTCATCCGAGGTGCGATAGACTTCTTTTCACAAGTCTCTCCCGACTCAAAAGAGACAGGCCCTGATCCGTCTGCTCCCAAATCTTTCCTCGAAGGATGCGCTCGCATATATCGAGGGCTCGGAGTCAGTGCAGTAAGGAGCATTACAACTCACGGCCTGCTTTGGACATTCTACGACTTGGTTGCTAATTATATCGACCGGCTACCCGAAAGATAACTTGTCACGTATCTATTTGCTCTGGCCTAACTAGTCTACGTGTCTCCCACGACCAAATTACTTGAACTACATAGTTCAAAACGTTGTCGCTGCTGCTCACTCCAAAAATAGAAACATGTCCGCGGGTAAGGTCCGTTCTTACCTGGCTGAGTTCGATTCACGCTTTCCGAGCACACTGTCCGCCGAGACTTATCAACTTGATCTAGCAAGTCTCGACATGGTCTTTGCTCCTTTTGGATTTAGACTGATGGCAAGTCACGCCGGCAATGATCTGCGATCGTGGTCCTCTCGCTTGAGCCTTGAACACAGGTCGCACGAGTCACTACCTGACCGACTGCTGTGGTGCGCTCGCAGCGGCCTCCGTGGAATATGTCGTTCTCGGAACTCTTGGGATATACCAGCATCGCATGTTGGTTGGGTGCCCAGTTTCCTCAGCTTCTCGAGAATATACGGCTGCAGTCTTGTGAGGGCCTCGCGCTGCCCTTCCTTGCTAATTGGTTGCTCGGTGTGTCTCTCGGGTATATCCTTCGATTCGAACTCATCATCACAGGCGATATCGCCAACCTCACTGGATGCTTACTAACGGAACAGCTGCCCTTCCAGGTATCTAGAGATGCTGCGATACACGCGGAAATGCTCACGAATTCTACTTAGACGTATCTCGCGACCTATTTTGTCTTCGTCGACATGATACTGTTCTCGCAGTATTTCTACTACGGCGGAGGGAAGACAGTCTCGACGTTCGGACGCGGAAGACGGACATCCGCTGCAGCAGATCGGCACTATCGCACGCTTTCGGTCGTGGCAGCTAATATGTCCACTGCCGCCGCATTGGCAGCGCAGGCACACGAGAACACCCGGCGCAGCATCGACCGCATGTCGGCCAGTATGCTGTCGGACGACGTCCCGGAGGGCGCGATGTTGGGCATGGCGGATAGCTTTCACTCGGAGCGGGCGGCATCGAAGAAGCGGGTGTCATGGAGCACTGAGAGGCACGGGCGCGGGGGAAGTGTCGGGCGCACACCCATGCCGCGCGGTGTGTTTACGCCGAGGACTGGAACTGAGGAAGAGGGAACCTTCCGGGGAAGATCGCTGCAGAGAGATCTACAGGCCTCCGAAAGAGACGACGTCGTTCCCTCATCGGTCGACTCTCAGCGAAAGAGCTCCCGGGCGAGCAAACGAGGTGCCAATCTTGTGTTTCTCAGCGTGATGGCTATGTTTGGAATGCGTGCCTGGAGCGGGAACCTGGCTCCCGGAGGCATCATGGTGCGAAGGGATCTGGCGGATAGTGGCCATGTCCTTGCCGATGTCCCTGCTATCGTTCAGGATCTGAGCTCCTCTGAAGCTGTCCACGTGTACCTCCCTGTCGCAGACGATCCGACCCATCACGAACCGGAACCTACAAATCCTTCCAACGAACGCCTAATCGGTCGCGTCTCCGCCTGGCTTTGCACCACTCTTTATCTCACATCTAGATTGCCGCAGATATGGAAAAACGTACGTCGGTGCCGGTGCCTCTCTGTGAACGACTGCTGAACAGCTCTTCAGTATGTCAGGAAATCCGTCGAAGTAAGGAACTTCCGTTCAGACGTTCTGCGTAACTCATTTCAGCTTCCAGGGCTTGGCCATCTCTCTCTTTGTTTGCGCATTTTTGGGCAACAGCTTCTACGTCGCCTCTATTCTGACCTCCGACCAAGTTTTTCTGCCTGCTCCCCAGTCGACGGACTTTCTTCTAGAAAGCTTACCATATCTGCTCGGAAGCGGCGGGACGCTGACGTTTGACATCATCATCGTTAGTCAATCTTTCATCTACCGAAGACCCAGACGACACGTCCGAGGGCGCACGGAAGAGGAGAGCGGGCTCATCGCCGGCGACTCCTTGGGGCAATCATCAGAAACAGCCTGATGTATGCTATCAGTGGCTGTGTAGATCAATCATCACGACAGTGCTTGCTGTTGCTTGACAATGGCGCTACTCTTCCTGTAATCTGTGTATTCTACATCCCAGCGCAAGACAAAGCCCTAATTTGTTTTGAACGGGCCTACATGTACGGCATGTGCGTGGTTGGATCGACCAGTTCTCAGTCGTCGTTCATTGCAAGGTGAGATCACGTGAGCTTCTCAAATCAACGGCGCTTGTAAGACCGATTCTGAGTCCCACCTGTGCGATGTGGAGACACGCTCGCATAGAGAAGGATTAAGATCTTCTTTCTGACCACTGTTCATTCTCCTTACTGAAGCCGTGGCACGTTGTGTAGTTGTATCATGTGATCGCCACTTTTCTTTTGTCTCACTGTCCAAATGGGGATGCGATCAACATCCTATTGTGTTGTCTGAGACCGACTGTCTTATTGTGCTAGGACCAATGGCGGACAACGACTACCCTTGCATCCTTGCTGGAGGACCATTATCCCCCATTTCTTTTCTCCGCCATGTCCCGTCCCTCCTCCCGCCGCGACGCTCCCAATTCACCGCGATCTTCGATTTCCAGCAACGACAAACACTCTCAACACACCACTGAGCTCCCAGAGCTCCCTTCAGCGCAACCCGCTTCAGCACCTCATGTCACCAAACCCTCTCTACGACTTCTCTTTTCCCTCATCCCCCCTCGACAACGCGCCCTCCTACTCATTCCTGCCATCGTGTCATCCCTCATCGCCGGCGCAATAGCACCCTTCATGACCCTGGTCGTCGGCCAGGCGTTCAACGCATTCGCCCGCTTCGATCAATCCCTACCGGCGAACCAGGCGTCCAAAGATCGGCTCATGCATTCTATGACTGTATCGGCTCTCGAGCTCGTTGGGCTCGCGGTTGGATCAGTTCTGTTGAGCAGCCTGATGAGCAGCCTTTGGATATGGACTGGCGAGCAGAATGTTCGCGCCGTCCGGAGACGCATATATTCTGCTGTCACACAGAAGGATATGGTCTGGTTCGATGCCAAGATGGGCACTGAGGGAACGCAGGGGGAGGACGAGGGCCCCATAGGTGCTGGTGGCTTGATGGCCAAGTTTGCGAGGTGCGTTACACGAATGGTACAGCCTCACATTGTTCTTACCTTGGACCTTTCGCAGAGAGACAGACGAAGTTCGCGAAGCTTCCTCTCTCGCAGCAGGGCGTCTCATCCAATACCTGACCACTTGCATCGCTTGCCTTGCCTTGGGGTTCATGCGATCGTGGTCATTGACTCTAGTCATCCTCACCGCTGTGCCGGTCCTCGTCTGTATCCAAATAGCTTCCCAGCTTTTGGCTGGGCCACTCCTCAATGTCGAGCGCTCGACTACAGCTGTCGCTGCGACCCACGTCGACCGCGCCTTTTCTGCTATCAGCACGGTCAAAGCATTCAATGCCTCTGGCTACGAACAGCATAAACTTGATGGAGCGTTGGACAAGATGTCCACTGCAACCAGGAAGCTGGTGGCAGTCTGGGGCGTCACGTCTGGCTGTGCACAATTCGTTATGATGGGCATGTTTGTGCAGGGTGCGTTTCTCCCCTAGTCCACCGTCCGTCTGTTCAACGGTCCATAGCTTTCTGGTTCGGCAGTAAACTCGTCAAGGAAGGCAAAATCGGTCCTGGCGATGTGATGGCCGTCTTCTGGGCCTGCTTGATTGCCACCAGTAATCTGCAAATGTCCATTCCCCAGTTCATCGTCCTCACCCGAGGCAAATTCGCCATTGTGTCCTTGCTCGCCGTCGTTGACGATGACGGTGACGACGGTTTCGGCGACGTACCCTTGTCGCCGACCACTGCGATTCCGGCTGCTCGTCCGGTCCAGAGACGAACGAACCAACATCTGCGCAAAATTCAGCCCAAACGATGCACGGGCGAATTCGCGCTGCACAATATCTCGTTCGCCTATCCATCTCGTCCGCACGTGACCGTTCTTGAAGACGTCAATCTCTTCCTTCCTGCGTTTGAGACAACTTTCATCGTCGGGTCCTCCGGCTCCGGCAAGTCTACGATCGCGCATCTACTCCTTGGCCTGTACACTCCTCAAGCAGGCTTGATCGAGTTGGACGACCAGGATATCAAGTTCATCGATGAGCGGTGGCGGCGGAGACACGTTGCTAGTGTCGAGCAGGGATGCATTCTCTTCGACATGAGTGTGTTCGACAACGTTGCGCTCGGTGCTGGTGGTCGTGATGTCACACGAGACGAAGTGCAGCAGGCTTGCGTTACTGCGCTTATGCATGAGTTTGTTCGCGACCTCCCTGATGGCTACGACACGATGCTTGGGACCAGCGGTGCCAGCCTCAGCGGTGGACAGAAGCAGAGGCTGGCGATCGCGCGAGCTCGCTTGCGGGATCCGACTGTTCTCATTCTCGGTGAGTATCTACATCTTTGCTTTTCGATTTGCGACCTGAATATACCCGACAGACGAAGCCACATCGGCGTTGGATCCCACGTCCCGAATCCTGGTCTTCGAAGCTATCAAGCGCTGGCGCAAGAACAAGACCACGATTGTCATCACTCACGACCTCTCACAAATCACATCCAGCGACTTTGTCTATGTCCTCAAGGACGGGCATGTCGCCGAGCAGGGTTTCCGCTACGATCTCGAGGTCTCTGGAGGGGAATTTAGCGAGATGATGATTTCCCAGGGTGCCACAGGAGGATATCTGCCTGAAAAGCATGTGGACTCGGCCATGCGCACCTACACTCCCATCTCCGAAGACGAGGACAAGACTGAGTTGACACATCCAAGTGTGGGTGTGACCACTACGTTTGGGTGGATGTTCGACGTCGTGACTGACCTCACCACGGTTCCGCTGGCTTTCCCGACTGCCGCAGAGACATTCGAGGACGATGAACCCTCTGTCAGCGAGAAGGTCGCTGTCACGCGATCCCGACGCCCTTCCAGTGTCTACGAACACCCTGTGTCCCCGCTTCCGCTCATGACACGTGACTCTCGCCGATTCAGCCTGCAATTCTCGCCTACTTCGACGACGTTCAACTTCCCGACTGCCGATGAGCCGGAGAAGTGGATCGAATTCGACGAGAAGGAACTAGAAAGCCGTGGCGAGCGTGCTTCCCGCAGACGGCGTGCATCGCAACCCCGGAAAGCGCGAACGAGATGGGAAGACAGCAAGGCTCTTGACGTCCAGGTTGAGAAGCCTTCCGGGGACGTCTCTGCCCAGCCGGAGATCTCTGTATGGCGGCTAGTCAAGGACATCTATCCCACCGTGCCGTATAAACCCCTGCTCGTTTTCGGGCTCGTCGTCTGTCTCATCAGCGGGGCCATCACGCCCTTGTTTTCGTTCCTCTTGTCACAGCTCTTCTACGAAGTCGCCAACGGGGCGAAAGACACTGCCATGATCAACAAGTACGGTGCGATCGTTCTGTGCACTGCTGCGTTGGACGGCATCTTCATCGGCCTCAAGTACTTTATCATGGAGTCGACGTCTATGCTCTGGATCACCCACCTTCGCAAGGTGTGTTTCAAACTTGTCCTGGCCCAGGACAAGAAGTGGTTCGACAAATCCGACAATTCACCTGTCCGCCTGGTGCAAGTTCTCATCAAAGACGGCGACGATGCGCGCAACCTGATCGCTGTCGTTCTTGGACAGCTGGCCGTCGTCACGAGCATGCTCGGGGTCGGCCTTGTCTGGGCGCTCGTCAAGGGCTGGCAGCTGACTCTCGTTGGCTTCGCGATCGCCCCGGTCTTTGCTGTTGCGATGGCTGTGCAGACTGGGCTGGTGGCGAAATGCGAGGCGAGGAACAAACATGCGAGAGAGCAGGTTGCCAAGGGCTACTACGAGGTCAGTGTTGTTATTTAGTTCGCTTTATCCATCGAACTGACTGTTTTTACCAGTCCATCCTCAACGTGAGGGCCATTCGCTCGATGGGCTTCGAGGCCATATTTCAGAAGCAGTTCGAAGCTTCTACGGACACTGCTCTGCGTGCTGGAGTTCGGGGTGCTTTCGTTGAAGGGTGCACCTATGGCGTGGCCAGTGGCCTGATCTATCTCGCCGAGGCTCTCCTTTTCTATGTCGGAGCAGTCCTCATCGCGCATGGGACCTACTCCTACCTGCAGATGGTCCAGGTCTTGAATCTGGTCGTCTTTACTGTCACGTTGGGCTCTCAGGTGATGGCCTTCAGTACGTCTGCTGCCTCTATCTATATGTCTCTTTTCTCTAACCTGTTCTACAGCGCAGAAGATCGCGCAATCAGTGCAGGCCACTCGCGGCTTCAACGAGATGCTCCACCTTCCCACCCAGACCGATGAGTCGGCTGGAATCATTTGCCCGCCTCTGGACGGCCCCATAACGCTGCAGAATGTCGATTTCTCGTACCCCGGGCGGCCCGATGTGCCGGTTCTCCGGGAGACCAACCTGCAGATCGACCCCGGCGAGTGCGTGGCTGTTGTCGGTGCTTCTGGCTCCGGCAAATCCACGATCGCGGCACTGCTTCAGCGCTTGTACGAGCCGCAGAACGGCCGGATCTTCGTTGGACTCGACGAGCTCAAGACGATGAACGTCGTCCACCTGAGGCACCACATTTCCGTCGTCAGCCAGAACCCGAATCTGTTCGATGCGACCGTTGCGGAGAACATTGCCTACGGAAATGCGGATCTCCCGTTTGCCGATATTCGCCGTGCTGCTCAGGCTGCGAATGTGCACGACTTCATCATGTCGCTCCCGCAGGGATATGATACCATGGTCGGCGAGAACGCGTCGTTGATCTCTGGTGGACAGGCGCAGAGACTGTCGATTGCACGTGCGCTGGCTCGCCCGTCCAAAATCCTGATCCTCGACGAGTGCACATCGGCGCTGGACCCGGCCAACCAAGCTGTCGTGCTGGACACCGTCCGCCGCGCCAAAGTCGGGCGGACGACGGTGATGGTCACACACAAGCTGCCTGTGATGCAGATGTGTGACCGGATTCTCGTTGTGCACGACGGACGCATCGCTGAGCAGGGCACGTACGACCAGCTGATCCAGCGCAAAGGCATCTTCGCGCAGCTGGCCAGCGGTGGCGAATGGGAGTGAGCCATGTCCTTTTTTATTACCTAATGAATGCCGTTACTATATCCTTTCCCTATTTTTCCATTCCATCTTGCATTTGTAGTCGTTACACAGCACACAACATGATCTGTAGTAGTAAACGCTTTCGGATAGAAACAAGCAGCGCATCCTTGTACACATTCTGATTCTGAAAGAGGTCACAACATGACCACTCCGACACCCTTTCCGGGCTTGGTATCTCCCTCGGCGGTCATGCCGGCCAGCTTCGCAGTCCGCCAGTTGTACAAATAAAAGTTGAGGTATCCGTCGCCAGGCCCAAACTGCGGTCCAGCGAGTGAGTCTAGGAACACATCCCGCGGCTGTGACTCACCTTCAGCTCACGCAGGATCGACACATTGTCCATCAGGGTCAGAGCGTTGAAGACATCCATCTTGGCCTGGTTCGCGATCACAAGCGCATCGCCGATGAGGATCCGGAGACGCTCCTTCAGCCGGCCGTCTTCCTCGCTCCCCTCCTCGAACGCTACCTCAGTCGCGTAGTAGTATAGGTAGGCCGCGTTCAGCACGGGATGTTTCGCGTTGTTGATGATGGTTGAGGGGAGGAAGTAGAACGAGAAAAAGTCCGTGATGCGCTGTGTTGCAGGGTCCTGCGATGCCAGCGCGCTCCGTCACCGTGTCACAGCGAAGATGAACGGTGCTCACCTCGACGATATATGTCCACACGACCTGGGCTTCTCTCCGTCCATCCTTGACCGACCCAGTCCCCTGACCACTCAAGAACTGGTGCCTGACCTCATCCAGGTTCAAGACTGGGAACATATCGAACCTGGCCATGTATTTCGTGTACAGTTCAGCGACACCGACGACATCCTTCTCCTGCATGGGCCTGATGTTCAGTATGGGACTGTCGGGCACCCGATTGTCGCGAATCATGCGTGCGATCGTCATGTTCCGTGGCACGAAGGTAAACCCGACGTCAACCAGCTTAGAAATATTGAGCGACCGGTGATTGTATCGGCAGACAGCGATGGGTGTGGGAATGACGACTCCAGCGGTATAGATCGCCTGGAAGATTCCTTTGAGGTGAACTTGGCGCGTCACCTCCTTGATCAGCACAGGCGCCAGTCGCTTCGACCGCAGTTTTTTGTGCACACAGAGATAGTTGATTTCGCTGGCCGTGAAGGTCCTGCGCACACGCTCTCGTATCATGGCAGCATTGCTTAAACGATGGATCACTCACTTGCCCCGTACTCGCAACGTCATCGGAACTCCTGAGATGAAAGCCACTAGCTTTTTGTTTGAGGAAACGCGCACGCCCACATGCCATTCCTTGAAATAGCCGGGAGGTTTGAGTGCCCTCGATTCCATGAGTCCAAACGAGTAGATCGCCCATTCTATAGCACACCTACCACTGGAAGAATTCTGCGGTATATTGGAAACGGAACGAGGCATCGTCGTCCTCCACGTAGTGCAAGGAGAGCAGATCGTACACTTCTTGATTCTAGTCAAATATCAGTATGGGATCGAATACTGAGAATGTGGCAATCCTACGGACCTGCTTGGGGTCATCTATGTCGACGATCGACCACTCGAAGTCCTTGGGTAATGGGTAGGGCTCTTGTCGAACCTGGTCTGGTGGTACAGAGGCCTCGATATATCCGTCATCTAGTGGCGGACCCTCCCCTAGCAAGAGTCTCAGCAGTTGACTCAAAATTAATCCAGGTAGCGAGCACCTGGCTGAGGGACAGGTTGTGTGGCCCAGAACTACGCCAGTCGTGAATCCCCAGTCCGTCTCAAGAAGAACATGCGCACCTTATGTGCCCCCATGTCCTTCTTGTTATGTCCCCCGGGGCCCGCCTTGCCTTGCACGACGTCCATGATCCTCATCTGCTCCAGCGCTAACCGAACAGTGGCCTCATCAGCCTGCTCGCTTCCCGGCGCGCCCTCGGCCTTCACGCGATCGAGAACCTGATCCACGATAGCCTGTGGTACCTCAGGCTTGCCCCGCAGCGCAGCCAACGCCCTGGCTGCTTTAGATTTCTTCTTCTTCTTCTTCTTGTTCTGCGACTCTGAGGGAACAGCCGCGGCAGATTCGTCTTCGTTTTCCTCCACTGCATCCGACTCCGACTCCGACAGATGGTCCTCGGTGGTGTCTATGATCTCCTCGATTTTGGCCGATTGGGACATGGAGATGTGCTGGATCGCGTGGGTGCGCGCGTCACGATCACGTCTCGAGTGGTGTGGCACGTCAGCGGCGGAGACGCCCGAAGACGCATCAAACGGACCGGTATTCAAGTGCAAATAGTGTCACGGTCCCTTCATGGCTCCCATTCTCTTGTCGCGGTGCGTCGCGCGTAGCTTCTTCACCATTACTCAGTCATGAACCTGCGTCTCTGACAGGTCTCTCGATTTTGGTCTGGGGATCCTGTAAGACACATCTTGTACTTCTCTGCCGACTGATGGTGCTATCCCGACGCAGAACAGGCGTAGGAGCGTATTTCCTGCACGAAAACCACCCGCGCTCCAACATCCCTCGCGAAGATCGTCTCTTTGAACTCCTGAAGTGGAAATGGGAACAACGTGCTAAGCTGCAGCAATCCGAGACGAATTCGTGACCAGTCTGTGTCGTTACACATATCGTAGAGTCCGACCCCGACCAGCGGCAATACAAAAACGCGGCCAGGATATATACGCTCTCAATCCCTATCTTCGCCCGCCCCCATATACATCCACTCCTTGAACAGAACACGAAGACGTTCACTCTTCCCTTCACCCAATTTCCTTGCCAGACCAATCCAAGCGCCCACTGTCAAATCACTCATTCCGTATGCTGTATGACGTTTCTTGAGCTCCTTCGGCAAATTCTTGAGAGGCACGGGGCACGAATCGTTGGACGCCATCATCGTGGACTTGTATGTCAGATATTCCAATTTGAACTTGGGAGCGTGCGTCTTGTTTGCTTCTTCCAGATGCGGAATGTAGTACTGGAAACCTGGCCTCGGTCCCTGCACAATTCAAACAGAACTAGACGCACCTGAGCATAGCCAAGCGGCGTCCACAATCGGTTTCGCCGGGAAGGAGAATCTGGATCTGAATGCCAGGGCTCGTTCAGATGGCATTTCCAGGTGTCGCGATATTGATCCATTTTGCAAAGCTCGGTTTTGTTGCCGTCTCCCCGAGGATGCCTGGACTTTTCCTTTTTCTTCTTCTTTTTCAGCATTTCTTTAAGATCTTGAACTGGTCCCGTCGTATTGTATGAAAATATGCGGAAACTGGGAAGATAGGGGTTGGGTACGACTGCGGGAGACACGTTGATGACCGCATAATCGTCGAGATTCATCTTCTTTGCTTTTGGCATACTGGCAAAGTCAGCGACTAAGCTGTCGAAGAGATCCACCGATAGTTGGGATTCAGCTGGTTTGATGATGGACAAGTCGCTCGCTTCCAAAAAGAAGAACTGGGCCACAAATGATTCCAGGTTCTGCAGGGACCAGACAAAATGACTTACATGGTCTGCATTCATGTGCTGTGTGCAAGTGATTAGCGTCCGTCTCGATCGGTTCGGGGTGGACGTACTCCGTACAGATGCCCGAGAATCGTATCTTGAAATCTGAGGGCCAGCTCTGTGTATCGCACGTACTGCAGAAAGATCAGACATGGAAGACGCGAGCAGGGAACGAGCACATACACATTCAGGGTGGTAGTTGTCTATCGAAGGAGGGACGTGTCCTAAGGAGCATAGGGTAAGGAAAGGAATCGGGATGTGCTGCAGTACACGAACCTGTCAGCCAGACCTGTAGCAGCTTCAGAAGATGCGAATGACAATAGGAATCTCCATTGACTCACCTGCATGCCTCGAGCCCTGAATCCTTTCAATTGAACCTCCAACCAGTCGAATTCAAGGTTGCCGGCGTCGTCTCGCTCCTTGAAACTGCAACCACTCACGGCTGTGCTCGGTGAGGACACCGATTACACTCCAGCCAACTGGCGAACCTTTGTTGGAATGATAGAAATACATGGTATTCAGGCTGACGACTGCCAAAGAGTCTGGGACGACTTCTACGGCATAGTATGCCCCACGCTGGAATATTTGCAGATACTGGAAGGGAATGAAGTTCTTCCAGATGCTACAGATCTTGAGGATAAGGGCTTCGGCCAAGAACGAATAGAACTTACGAAGCAAATTCGTTAGTAGTGCTACTGGGACCAGGAAGCATGATGTTCTTGAAATCAATCAGACGTTGCCCAGCTTCAGTGTCGATTATTCTCACATGTGCTATGGAATGTTCAGTAACAGTCGACTAGAGACGGACAAAAACCTACGCCAGACATCATTATTTCCAATGCTCGGTATGACTGGAATCCCCCTCGAAGTGAAGATTGACGTCATCTTGCTCGCCACACCCCGATTAAGATCATAAATTTCTTTGGGCGTGCGGGGCAATTTGCGGTCATTGTCGTGTCTAAGGGGGCGCTGAGTGTGCGCTTCGAGATGCAATCGACCGACTGTCTCGAACCTTGCATTATCTCCTGTCCCTGGGTAGCAGTGAGCAGGGCAAGATATGACGGCAGAGAACTCGGCGCACAAACTACGAAGTCGATCTCAGAAGCCCACTGATCGGATTAAGCATAATCAGTCTGGAATGTGGTCTATGTCACACCTTCTTCTCAATGAAATCAAGGGTGTGGTTGATCAAGGAAAACGGAGAGTCGCATCCGCTCGATGGAGTTCAGTCAAGCCGTACTTTGAACGAAGTTCAGACGCACGAATAAGGGACCCCATACAACCCAGAAACATTCTTCTTTTTCTTGCCCTTCTTTCTGTGACAACTAGTAGCCTCCGACGTCTTCGGGCGGTATGCGGGGTCGGGATGAATGTCGGTGATCTACTAGCGTGATTGATGGATTTTCTAGCGTTCTAGGGAATGCATACGTGCAGGAAGTTGCCGCGTAACTTTCGTGGCTCTCAAATCGATGTTAGGCTTCGCACGGGTCTGCACTGGAAGCGGGGCGCGCACTGGCAACATTTGGGACTTGGAAGGGTTCTTGTGTTGGAGCTCCATGTGCCCCTAGCAAATCCAGACACAGCAGCAGAAGGAGACTAGGGGAAAAGAACATGGCCGATGACGGGCGGTGAAGTATAGAGAAACGTGGGACCCTGGCACTGAGCACGGCACAGGAGGAGAGAAAGATACAAGTCTATCACTGATGATATATGGATAACAACGGCAAATATGTGCTAAAGTCAAAACTGGCGTGGAGATAACAGTACGAGGGAAAATGCGGAGACAGATTGGTGCTACAAGAGACGATGAACAGTGACACACTAAAACGGAAGCCTGGGGAGAAACGTGCGCCGAGCCAGGGAGTCAGGTGGTGGATGCTGATTGTGTGTGACCTGGTGCCGTTTTTGAGGCGTGCAGGTTCAGCAGGTAGGCTACGTTATCTCCGCTATCAAGAACGGCCGCAATGGATTCTGAAGCCAGATGGCAGAGCTGGACAGCGATGTCAGTCTCAGCACATAGAAGGGACAGGTCACATACTCGCGAGTATCCGCCTGGTTCGAGCGGCGTGCGACTGTGAGATTGTTTGTGAGAAGTCAGCGAGATCGAGGAACAACCATGCAGCGGTCAGCTTGCCTTTTAGCAATCGTGTTGTGGATGGCGTTCGTGCTGTAACGGCGACTGCGAACAAAGGGAGAAGTCAATAAACATCCAACCAGACACCGCGATTCAGGCACATACAGGACACTTTCCAGGTCTCGTCTTGTTCTCGGATGAATGAAAATATCTTCGCCTGAAAGATATTTCTGAGGAAGACATGGATGCCATTGTGGTTCAGCCCAAGCATACAACACACCTCAAAGCTTCGGTAAGAGGCACATAGAGCGATGACAGTTTCGTCAATATGATCCCAGTCGAGACTTTCACTGAAGACAAAAGCGTGCGACGCGTCAGACGGTAGGTCGATAGAGGCGTGGACGAGGTCAACGGACGAAGCAGAAACATTCGCGCGAGCTTCAGCGCTGTGCGGAGCCAGGAATCGTCCGATATCCATGTTAAGGGAAGAGAAGCTAGTAGTCTTGTGGTGGCAAGTGGCAAGGATCGAAGTGGGACGAGTCGGCCTTACGAGTATTGTTCCAACGGCAAACGCATCGCCCACGTTCGCTTTCCATTGACTCAGGAAAATCTCTGACTAAGCTCCTGATAAGCTGTATCAATTGATCGGTACGTGAGATCGGCCGCGATAAGATAGAGGAGAACCTTTTCCAGTGTGGCTTCGCGCACGTTAGTCTCGTCCAAATCGTACGTTTTTATTGCCGAACCAGCGGTCCGTTTGGTCGCGTAGACTGTCCGTACAACACTGAGGGTAGAATACAGCCGCGCTAGCCAGTTGGAATCCGCTACTTGGGGTTTTGGTCATGCGAACTCGGAGATTCGCGCGCCAGCAGTTTCATAATCATTGACATCACGCCCGTGAAGGTACGCCTCTCTGCCTCGGTAACTCCTAGTTCCGCTGTAGATGGACTTTTGCGAAGCGCGATTCCAATTATAACGCTCTTTCGGGTCACATCAAGAGGACTGGAACCGTCGCATGTCCATACAATGGTTGCGATCTGCGCAGCATATAGTGAATGAAGTGTTTGTATATGTTCTGATGGCGCATTTCCGAACAATGGAGTCAACTGAACCGCTGCAGGGGGTTCTGGCAGAGCGAGAGAGTTCGGCTGAGAAGAGTCCTCAGCGGCAGGCGATAACGGGATGGTTTCCGGAATTGAAGCTTGAATCTAGTCGTCGTGTCAAGGGGAAGTTCGGATTTCAACCCTCAATCCCCACCAAAGTCCCCACTTTTCCCAACTGAGTAACGAGCACAAGCACACGGTCCGAGAAAGTCTGGATCACGATTTCTGTCTTGATTCCTTCCAGATCGGCGGACACTTGACGAGACATGACGCTCTAGTAAAGGGATCCAAGATTGGAAAAGATACGATCTGGTCGTGGTTCAGAATGAAACTGAATGAAGTCTCATGGAATGCGCGTCACACACTGAACAATCAGGTACAAACTTGACCTGATCCATCATGAGCACCTCGAAAGGGAAGGGGAAGGAGGAACCGCAGTGGTCTTCGGGGTGGTGGGATTTCTACGAACAGACTCAAAGGTCTGTATCCATCCAACCTCAGTGTCAAAGTTCTGACTTTCTTCAGACCTGTAGTGTGGACAGCCACTTCTACAATCTTCTCCGCTCATCCAACACAACCCATAGTAAATGCGCGTCATTCCTCATCTTCCAAGCAGTTTTCTCTCCCCTCTCCTCCACCCGTCGTCTCGTCTCCGGCGTCATTCGAGCCACCCCGTGTCATAGCGGATTCCCCTGCAGGAGACTGGCTTTACGCTTATTTCCCGTCGGTCGGCGAAAGTGACGGAATCTCGTGCTTATGGCAGCGTTCTGCGCCTCTTGACGATTGGAATGTTAAGCAATGTTGGGCACTTCGTCCTGGTGCCGGGATCGTCGCTGCTGGCTGGCTGGGTGGTTCACGCAAGGTGCGCTTTGTCCGAGTGTTCTATCACAATCCTTTGACAATCCTTCGCAGTGGTCGTGTGATGAGTCAGGCGTACCGAGAAGACTTCCTCTTCGTGGACCGCACACGCCCTTGGCTGAAGCAGCTCTCGTACTGGTCACCGAGTCTTTCGAAGTGACCGTGTGCTATTTGCGCTCATACATCCGTGAATGGAAAATGCTCACTTGCACGCTCAATCAACCGGCAGTTGCAATTGAAGATCGGCCTAATTCAACTGAAACCCCCTCCTTCAAGACCAGTGTTGTCAAGACATGTGTGGGTGCTTCGATAGGCATGGCCTATAACGGCAAGTGCGATCCGTTTCGGCTCCCACTACTGCGTCAATTTGGTCTTAGAATCCTCGATCTTGGTGGCCTATCGTTCTCGTGTACTGCCCTCAGCATCCGTCGGTGACCGAACTGCCAACCCTCTTCAACTTCCAATGAATTTAGATCTGACCCCGTCAGAGTATGAATCTCCTCTGGAATGGCAAAATTGGGGCGAAGCTTCGGCCATTGAACTCTGTGAGGTCAAAATTGAAGCTACTAGTTTTCGTGCGCTCGCGTCTTTGTTCCGTTTTTACATTGTGGCATATGCATTGAACAGTTATCTCGGTTTCAACGACTCCCCTCCCGCCTATTCAAGGATCTAGCATGTCTCTAAGGCATCTGATGTTCTTCTCACCTATGGATGATAGCAAGCTGTATCTTGCGAGTAGCTATCTGGATTTCGGAGATTGTAAGAACAGTTTTCTGTCGTCGAAAGTTTATGCTTACGGACACCTCCAAGACGCAGCTGCTCCGAAATCAGAACTGTTTATCCATTCTCTCGCCCGTTCATCCGCCGACGAAAGTCGCAACTGGGTGAGCTTGAAACGAGGGTCCCTTTTAAGTTCTGTCATACTGAGGGTAGACAGACTTGCATCCTCAGTGCCCGTCGCTCCTACTCAGAATCGGTCTTGACTTACATCGTCCCCAATCCGGGTGGACCCACGGGACAAGGATCCGGGCTGCTCGCAGGGCTCTTGAAAGTGTCAGGACCGATTCCTGTTAATAAATCGCAGCACAGAAGCATCGTGACAGGATCGACGCATCTGTTGAGCTTGTACGAAGTCCTCTCTTCGCCGAATGGTTCTTTAATTAACCTTCATGCAGACCAGAACTGGCAGAGCACGAGAGCTGGGCTCCCAGTCAAGTGGTCGTTCCTCTCGAGTCAGCCGGGCAAGAGTGTAAGCAGGCTTGCTGCTTCGGGTTGGGATTGGTCGCTCAGTCTCTTCGCAGTACCCACCCACGGGGTTCTGTCTCCCAACAACACGACGCTACTCTGCACTTCGACGACCCGCCTTTCCTTGCAGTCAATCCCTCGACATAAATCCGATGTTTCCTCGATGATAGACCTGACAGCGAGAATTGCCACCTGTCTTCTTTCAGGCAGTTCCGCTGCAGACATCACCCATCTCCTCGTTCGATCGTCGATTACGCTAGAAGTTGTTGGTCAGACGCTGCATGCTGCTTTCAAGATGGTCAATAACGGCCAAGACAAGGGAACCCTGATCCGCCGTGGGTTGGGGCTGGTCCTGGAGACGTACAGGTATCTAACCACCATTCACGGATGGGCATCGGCTGAACTGAAGCTCACAGATCTCGCGCCATCCATAACGTGTCTGAGAGCGAGCGATTGGGCATCCGCTGGCACACAGCGCTTGATGTGTGTTCCCTTGCCTCGTGCAAGACAGCTTTCGAGGATTGTCGAGTGGATGGTGCCTTTGATCTTGGTTAGGATGTTACTCCGGTGACCCGCGCAGAACTAACCTGTATTGACAGATGCTGTATGGCAGCTGGTCAGTCTTTCTGCGTGGGTCGTAAGCTTCGTCGAGCAGCTTTTGAAAGACTGTGTGCTTGCTGTGGCTGCTGCCGAGAGCCCCGCTGTTCCCTGGTACCTCGGGCATGCCTACACCCTGGCTTGCTTGCACACTGTGCTTTCGGATGTCATCCAATTCAAGACCAAAATCACCTCGCTGCGTGCCGTGGACGAAAATTCTCAAATGGCTCAGAACGTTCTGAACGACGTGCTAGTGTGCTCTGGTGTAGATGTGTCCAAATTGGAGGTGCTTGTCAAGGAGTTGCTTGCTGAAACGCAGTCGACTGTTCCAGACGACGAATCGCTCCGGTGTCTGGCCTTCTGCGAGGCGACCCCCTCGATGCATTCGCATCTTCAAATGGCCGCACACAAATTGGCCTCGCAGACGATCGTGGACAAAACCCGACTGTTTGTTCAGCGACATGAACTGATGGAGGATGGAGGGGATGTCCGCAAGGAACGAGTCAGAGACATTGTCACCAAAACTGCCTTACCTGGCGCTCGGACCCGCGGGCTGACGTGCGTTCGATGCGGTGGGCGCTCCGAAGCAGCTCGTAGCACCGCCCAGCACGCATCCGATGCCTGGAAAGCGTGGGAACACGTTTGGAGCAAACACTGTATCTGCGGAGGCATGTGGCTAGCAGGTACCCAATAAGTTCTACAGCTTGCTTTTGTTGTCTTTGCCCAAATAAAAGTGCATCGCCTCCGAGATCTCGTTTATCCACTCACGCGTCGTTTCCTCCATGAACACGTTCTCGTCGTAGAAGAGAACCAGTCGGAAGCAGTCTCGAACGACCCCGGCACTCAGATAGAGCTCTCCTGTCCGACAATGCAGGCGGCTCATGCTCTCTTTCAGCTGCAAGCGCGGTGTCTCTGCGCCGAGAGGGAAGTTGGACGGCGCGTCTCGCTGTGAACAGGCGTTAACAAGCGCACGGAAACATGTCTGAAGATGACGTACGGAGGCAAATGTGGACCACGCGAAGCTGAAAACACTGCCCTGATGTTGCGCTTGTCCTTCTGCTGAAAGCGAATTCCATCGCTCCATCTGCTGTTCAGCATCGTCGACGTATTTTTTCGGATCGCGAGTCCACTGCTCCGCCCACTCCTTCATTGCGGTCACTCTCGCAGGGAAACGCGCTGCTCCAATCTCCAGGAAAAGCGGATGCTTGAAGTATCTTTGTGCTTGCACTTTCAACTCTCTGCAGCGATGCGTGAACTGGGCTTTGGACATCAACGAAGAGAGTGTCGGTACTGCTGAGGCGCCGCTGCCGATCGGGATGAAGGGCGACGCAAGGAAGAAGTAACCGACGTAGACTCCTCCGACATTTACTCCCCCGTTTCGGCCCCAGTTCGAGTCCAGGAATGCTCGCAGGTTCAATGGTCCACCGGTGTACGTCGCTTGTGTGCGCCTAAAGGACCATTCCTCCGGGGACATCTCAGACCGAGCATAGCGACGAGAAAGTAGGCGAGCAAGGGCCACCTGACCGAGGACCACTAGTGCATTTCCCAGTGTGACATTCTGTTCTTTCAGCGTCTCAAGGAAGCCAACAGAGGCATCGGCAGAGAATGACAGCTCAAGAAGACCTGGAAATAGGCTGAGGGCTGGAGATTCGTACCAAAGATCTTGCTGCCCATACCTGAACGTGCTGGAAGTCGTGTTGCGATAGGACCGTACAGTCTCGGTAGAGTCTGACCGCCCTGCAAACAGCTTCAGCAATTGGAAATGGGCGCGTTCTTGCGTTCTTGCCTTTCGTTTGCTCTCTCTGATTGCAGAAATGACTCTGCCGGCAGCATTCCGCCAGCGCTGTTTGGCAAGACTGAACTTGAGACCGGGGACCAGCGCGTCGGCGGGGAGTGCCATCGCCAAGGTGGCCTCCAAATGAAAGTCACTGTACTTCAAGTCACCGGACATCAACTCCAGGAGTGCGGCTGGAAGTCTTGCGTTGGTCGCACCGTCCGTGATCAAATGAGCCACGTGAAGATAGAGATGAAAGGTCGTGGGTTCTCCTGACTGCGAAATCACGATCAGTCGGCCCAGCAGATCGTCCGAGAGGACACGAGGGCCGTTGATAATTTCGTAGCCCAGATCCTTCGCTGCCTCCGCAGACGCAACTTCTCCGAATGTGATCTCATTCGGAATGACCGTGTCGAGCCGGCTGGATGCTACACGGAACTGGGGCGGGCCCTCGGCTGTGGGACAGGAGACGGTTGCAGCGAGCAGAGGAAACCGGCGCTTCAGATGGCACCATGCCCCGGAGATCGACTCGGGCGCAAAGCGATGCTTCTCAGTCTGCGAGGTTGTCACCATAAATTGGGAGAGGGTGTCCGCTGTCCCGTTGATATGGGAGTCGTAGTAGAAAGACCATTCGTTGTAGCCCAATTCCCTGGTGTAAACGCCTTCGCAAGCTCGAGTCCAAGTCCACATGTGAAGTCACAGCAGAGAGAAGCTCAGGCGTGGAGACATGCTCCTGATGGCTCGCAAAAAACAGAGCCAAGATTGATGTCCAAACAAAAGATAATGATAAGATTTGGAAAGTCAAAAGGCACTCGGTCACGTGGTCGAGATCTTCCTGTGTCTACTGTGCCCTGGGTCGTTCCAGCGATTCGGGCTTTCACTGTGGCTTTCTTTCGCGCCACGTGCGCAACCCGTATCCTTCGCCATACTTCTACTCTCAGAAATCTTCACACTGGCACCCCCGAGATGCCTAAAGCCGAAACCACAAACTTTCCGGTCTCTGCGTTTTTTGGCGTCGTGAAACCCTCCGGTTCGCTCTTCGACCTATTCCACCCGTGGGATCTCAACATCTTCCAGGTCCGACTTCGATGGCTGTCATAAACGACATCAAGATTCTTGTAGCAAGATCCAAACTTTTCGTGGAGGCGTCCAAGGTGGCTAAGGGCAAGGGCAAAAAGGTGAACCCACGGGCAAGAGGCGAGGTCAAGATCGGGCAGGGTGGTACTCTCGATCCGCTCGCGGATGGCGTGTTAGGTGCGTCAGCAGTGTCGATCGCTTTCCGTATAGAACTGACATCTGTGCGGGCAGTGGTTGGTGTCGGAAAAGCCACGAAGCAGCTCTCGCAGTTCCTGGAGTGCACCAAGGTCTGCATTGTTTTCTCATGGCTGCACTGCATATGAAAGCAGAGTATAGGAATATCGAACGACGTGTCTACTGGGCTGCGAGACGGATACGTACGACAGCGAAGGTGCGCGCGTCCGAAGCGCGCCTTGGAAACATGTCACCAAAGAGGCGGTCGAGAAGGCGCTGGAGAAGTTCCGAGGGGAGATACAGCAGGTTCCGCCAATGTTCGTTCAGCTCTTTCTTTCATGCCATTTCGGCAGTGTTATGCTTACTGCGGCCATAGATTTTCAGCACTGAAGATGGACGGGAAGCCGCTGTACGAGTATGCTCGGGAAGGCATCCCCCTTCCGCGGCCCATCGAGCCGCGCAAGGCGGTTGTGAGCTCCTTAGAGCTGGTTGAGTGGAAGGACACGCATGACTTTCGCTGGCCTACGAAATCGCTCTCCGAAGATCAGAAGCACGCGGTAGAAAAGGCATTGAGTGGTGCCGGAGAGACGGTTGCTCTGACGGAAGAGACCGCGTCTGCCGAGCAGGCGGAGAGCGATGTCCCACCCGTGTTTGTGCTCAAAATGCGTGTCTCTAGTGGCACATATGTACGGTCGATCGTCCACGACCTTGCCCATGAGTTGGGATCAGCAGGACATGTAGTCACGCTCTGTCGTTCTCGTCAAGGTCGGTTTGCGCTCGAGGCGGCCGAAGAGGGCGAGCGGGAATGTGTCCCGTGGGAGGTATTCGAGAAAGCAGCTGCAGATGTCGGGGAAGAAGGCGAAGACGGGTGGCACGAATGGGAACGTGTAGTTATGGAGAAGATGGAGATTCTACCCTGACGTAAGTCTTACATCTTACTTCTGATATACTCTTGGTCGAAAGTTGAAGTTGGCCAGCTCTGGCTTCTGGGCCGGGGTACTGAGGGTCTGAAGCGACATCGGCTCTGATTTTCGGATATTCCGCATCTTCGATCATATCATGTAAGCGGACCGGGCGGTCCGACTTATGCTACGGTCCGCTCCCAGTATTTATATGCAGGAGCTACGATGCTGTAAGGTGAGTGCCTTCGATATCCCGCCGCACACCCTCACATAAGCATCCCACTCATGGCAGCCATCGTCAACGGAGTCCACCCATCTGCCACTCGGCCGCTGACCCCTGGTGTATTTGCACCCATCCCTTCATTCTTCCTCCCCGAGTCTGAGGATCTGGACATCCCGACCTTCCAGTCCCATGTCGTTCGAATCGCTTCTGCAGGCATGGGTCTTGTAATTACTGGATCCATGGGCGAGGCTATCCACCTGTCGCATGCTGAGCGCGTAGCACTCATCCGCGCTGCACGAACGGCTTTGGACGAGGCTGGGCTGACGACGGTTCCTATGATTGTTGGCACGGGCGCTGCAAGGTCTGTGTTGCTTCTCATGCTCCTTCTCTCTGCTCACACTGGCCGAAGCACCCGGGAAACGAATGAGCTCACCAAGGAGGCTGCCGCTGCGGGTGCTGATTATGCTATTGTCATCGCATCAGGGTATTTCGCCGGTGCATGGGGTCACAACCATGCGGCGCTCAAGGCCTACTTCACTGAGGTGGCTGAGAAGAGTCCCATTCCCGTGATGATCTACAACTGTGCGTGGGGTGCATGACTTCTCCAGATAATATCATCTGATCCGAGTCCACACAGATCCTGGCGCCAGCGGGGGTATCGATCTCGATTCGGACGTTATCGTGGAGCTTGCGAGAGAGTGTCCGAATATCTGTGGTGTGAAGCTGACGTGCGCCATGACAAGATATCAGTCGCCTTCGCCTTGTCTGACCACTTGAACAGATGTGGAAACGTAGGAAAGCTGACCAGAATCGCGTCCGCTGTTTCCGGTGCGAGCGACTTCTCGTCCAAGTTCCCTCGGAAGACCTCGACGGCACCTTTCCTCGTTTTGGGCGGCTTCATCGATTTCCTCACTCCTTCCGCATTCGCCAGTGGTCACGGTGCCATTACTGGGCTCGGCAATGTCGCACCCGTATGTCATTCATCCTCCATGCATTACCACCCTTCCTCAGCTGTCTTATCACAGCACGCGATCCGCAAATTATTTGAGCTCTCCGAGCAAGCCACGACGGATCTGTCCGTTCTCCCCGAGGCTCTGCGCCTGCAGGGGATCATCGCGCGCGCCGACTACACGATTGCCAAGGCTTCCATAGCAGGAACCAAATTTTTGCTGCAGAAGCTGCATGGATACGGGGGAACAACCCGCAAGCCATTGCCCCCCTTCCCTGCTGCGGCTGGGCAAGCCCTCTGGGAGCACCCGGACACAGTAGCCGTCGTCGCGCTCGAGCGGGAATTCAGCGGGAAGACTCAGTAGATTCACAGTACGAGATGGGCCACGAAGTGATTTAATGAATAAATTTGTATATAAATGCTGATTTCGGTCCTCCGGGACGCATCTCCGGGACCGAGGTGTCCGACCGAGTGTGACGGGCGGTCAGAGTCGCTAGTAACAGTGACCACTCTTGACTGTGCTCTGCCGCGCTCTCTAGATAAGCGTCCTCGCGATGGACCTCCATCCCAACTGTCTCATCCGCTCTCACCATGCCTGCACGAGTGATCACCGTGGTCCTCAACTCCAATCACAACAAACGATTTGCCCTTCGCCTAACATCCGAGGTTTCACCCAGTGACCGAGACACGATTCTCAAAGAAGCAAAGAACAAATTTAAGATTCGGCCAGCGGATGTATTTCTGCTTGGCGGTGTCTCGCTTGCCCCGGCAGAAGCAGTGCCGGAGCTGGCCAGCAAAGTTTGGATCGGCAAAGGGGAACCATACTGCGGTCCACCCGCGCCGTGCTCCCCAAATGATATATCGGCCGCGATGCGTGTCTTCTGGTCAGATGAATTCGAGTCACAAGCCCGACTTGGAAGTGGCTAAAGTATTTCCAGCACGAAGAGCTACATCGACCCCGCGGCGGTCAAGCAATTACGAGAAGTCGGGAGGTCACCTGGTGGGTTCGGCCGAATGACCCTCTTGCTACTTCATTCATCGATAACTCCCATTTCAAAGGCATCCGCCTGGCGGTGGGACTGCCGGATTTGCACCCGGGCTCACGTTTTCCTATCGGTGCGGTCTTCCCGTCATCTGACTCGGGGCTATTTGAACGCCGTGACCAGGCTGCGCTATTGCCGCGGAGGGCATCTACCCTGCTCTCATTGGATCTGATGTTGGATGCGGCATCGCATTGTACGAACTCTCTTCGCGGACAAAGTGGGCGTCAAACCCCGAGAAACTTGCGTCCGCCTTGCACGGTCTCGAGCAGCCGTGGCCTGGCTCAGTCTCTGCGTGGCTCTCCAACTACGGGATTGAGCGGGCGTCCGAGTTCGATGAGCCCTGCTTAGGGACGGTGGGTGCCGGGAATCATTTTGCCGAGCTCTCCACAGTTGAACGATTCGTCGATGAGACCGCATGCCATGCACTGGGTCTGGCTGAGGGCGGTCTGTATCTACTAGGTGTGTGTGTGATCAATCTCACGTGAGCTTGAGTCCGCCTGACTGGTCTGCAGTTCACACCGGATCCAGAGGATTGGGTGGATCAATCCTTGCCGCAGAAACTGCCGATGGAAATCACAACCCATACCTTGCGCCCGAATCGCAACACTTGGCTGAGTATCTCGACTCGCATGACTACGCCGTGCGATGGGCCGTCGCCAACCGCGATCTCGTTGCCCACAGAATCAACGAATGTCTCTGGCCCCGGGGAGAAGAGTCCAGCCCGAAGCTGGGTCTGCGCAAAATCATCGATGTGACGCACAACTCGGTATCGAAGCATGCTGTGACTGTGGACGAGGCCACTCGCGAGCTGTGGGTTCACCGCAAGGGGGCAGCACCGGCTGACCAAGGTGTTGTTCCTTGTCCCGGAAGTCGGGGCCATCTTTCTTGGTTACTGCAGCCCATGGGAGACGGCCAGGCAAATGGTCTGTGATGGCCTATTCTAAATATAGAAAACTCGGAAGGGCTGACTGATCTATTTTCAGCGCACTCTTTGGCTCATGGGGCAGGGCGTCGCTTCGGGCGCAATGTGCTGCACACGGGCGGCCAGAAAGTGAACAAAGCGAGCCTGATCCACACCCAACTTGGGTCGGTCGTGATCTGCGAGGACGCAGATCTTTTGATAGAAGAGCAGCCGGACGCTTACAAAGATGTGCAGTGCGTCGTTGACGACATGGAGAGCGCCGGACTCTGCCGCGGAGTAGCTGTTTTGCGCCCAGTTGTAACGTACAAGATGCGTAAGCAGAGATGACTTGATTATTTTCGCGATCGTAGACTGTTCTAGTAAATTGGTCTCATCTACCATCCATTGTTCAACTGCAATCCGAGACATTTGATTTCTGCACAATTGTGCGGCTCACTCGTCTTGACAGCGTGTGACTACCCCGCACTTTCCCCACTTTCCGGGGTAATGGAGTGATGGAAACCTAGGAACGGACCGCTGCTTCCCGCTTCTAGTGGTCTAGTGACTGCTGTCTAGTTATGCCCTACACACGAATACGTACATCGCACCTTCAGTTGACCTATCAGCCGCTGCATCGTCCCCACCTTGCTCATGGCGTTTCTCAAGAGGATTGCACGCGCAACCCTCCCGGCGCGGATTCTCTCGGGGGTGCCGAAACGAAGTGCGCGCGACGAGATTCCATGATCGCACCTGACTGACCAACCATCACGAAGACCATCGATTGGCCAGCACATCGGCGACCGGCGGAACCCCGTATGCTTCGCTGACGGTCGGGGCCCTCCGCGAGAGATATCCCAACGAACGGCGCGTGGCTTTGACGCCAAGCAATGTCACTTTGCTCAGGAAGAAGGGATTCGGACGCCTTCTGGTTGAGCGAGATGCGGGTATGTTGCATCTCTTCGTGACACGGGTTATCTTGGCCATACTTCCTTCCTTGTGCGATTTGACGCCGTCATCGCAGGTGCCGAAGCTCAATTCTCCGATGCGGTGAGCATGCGGCCGTTCAGCGGGCCCGACGCAGTCTTTGATCGGCCGCGCGCAGGACTATACCGCCGCAGGCGCGACCTTGTCCTCCAAGGATGAGATATTAGCTGCGACCGACATCCTCCTCAAAGTGCGCCCGCCCTTGGAGGGCGGGGAAGTCGAGAACATGAAAGAGGGAAGCACGCTGGTGTCGTTTTTGTACCCAGGGCAAAACGAAGGCATTGTGAATGCCCTTGTATCACGGAAGATCAATGCGTTGGCGATGGAGCAGATTCCTCGCATCTCAAGGGCACAGGTGTTTGATGCGCTGAGGCGAGTTGTGGCGGCACTCGGTACCGACTGCACGACCACTGAGACCAGACCACAGTTCGATGGCCAACATCGCAGGCTACAAGGCAGTATTAGAGGCGTCGAACAGATTCGGGAGATATTTAACGGGACAGACCACTGCAGCAGGAAAGGTGAGTCGCGACCCGCGTCGCGTGCGCAGATGCGGAGCCTGACATAAGGAGCATTAGATCCCGCCGGCAAAGGTGCCATCTTTCCTTCATTTCTACCATCATCCTATCCCTCATGGTCAATAGGTTCTTGTTATCGGCGCTGGCGTTGCCGGGCTGAGTGCCATTGTCACGGTGCGCAGAAGGGTCGCAGTGTCACCGTTATTCAGGCCTGACATGTATGCAGGCCCGGCGGCTGGGCGCCATCGTGCGCGGGTTCGACACGCGGTCTGCTGCGCGGGAGCAGGTGCAGTCGCTCGGCGCAGAGTTCATCGAAGTAGAGATGAAGGAAGATGGATCTGGTGGCGGCGGTTACGCGAAAGTGATGTCGAAAGAATTCATCGCTGCAGAGATGGTTGGAATGGTTCTACCCGACCTTCTCTTCCACTGACGCGTTTCCAGGCACTGTTCAAGGAGCAAGCACGAGATGTGGACATAATCATTACCACTGTACGCGTTATCTTCGACGTCCTTCGTAGAAGCTCACCCTTTGAAGGCTCTCATTCCAGGGAAGCCTGCACCGAAACTGATCACGAACGACATTCTTTCCGTGATGAAACCGGGATCAATTGTTGTGGATCTGGCTGCAGAGGCAGGCGGAAACTGTGAGGCTACCAAACCAGGCGAGCTATATGTGCACAATGGTGTCTCGATAATCGGTGCGTGGCCCATCATTTCCCCTCCCCGTTTCGCGCTCACGACTGTCAATCAGGGTATACGGATCTACCGTCTCGTTTGCCCACGCAATCGTCGGTGCTCTACTCCAACAACGTGACCAAATTCCTGTTGTCCCTCGGTGGAGATGGTCAGTTCTTGCTCAACCTTGAGGACGAAGTCGTGCGGGGGGCCATCGTTACCCACGAAGGACAATTACTGCCTCGAGTCGCGCCTGCTCCACCGCCGATCCCGACTATCCCTCCCACCGCCAAAGCCGAGGAGATCAAGGTAGCGATAACGCCTTGGCAGAAGACTTCGCGTGAAGTCGCCGTGGTCACAGGTGGAATGGCGGGAGTGATTTCTCTGGGGAAAGCGACCGGGACTGCGTTCATGGACAACTTCTTCACTTTTGGTCTGGCTGCACTCGTGGGCTACCGTGTCGTCTGGCAGGTCGCGCCAGCACTGCACTCCCCGCTCATGGTAAGCAAATTTCCAACAAGCATCCGTGCTGTATGGACACGCCGAACAGAGCGTTACGAATGCCATTTCTGGAATGGTCGGTATCGGGGGCCTGTTTGTCATGGGCGGTGGATATCTGCCAGGGACCATCCCTCAGGCACTGGGTGCGATATCGGTCCTTCTAGCCAGTGTCAATGTTGCGGGAGGTACGTTGCTCATCGGCGTGGCACTACACTGAGTTTCAAACACCTAACCACAGGATTCATCATCACTAAGGTGAGAACTCTAATGCGTCTGCTATGTCGTTGTTCCAACTCGTCTTAGCGCATGCTGGACATGTTCAAACGAAGCACCGATCCGCCCGAGTACTCGTGGCTGTATGGCCTTCCCGCGGTGGCAAGTCTGTCTTTGCGATTCGTGCCTTCATCTACTTATCGAGAACAGGTCTTCACCGGTGGATTTTTGGTTGCCGCAAGCACGGGAATGGCTGGATTGGTACAGGCAGGCTACCTGACATCATCCGTCCTCTGCATTGGTATGCCATTCTCCTTACTCTGATCCGTGCGTTTTCCAATGCTACGACAGGATCCCTTTCTGGCCTCGCTTCTCAGGCCACTGCGCGGCAGGGTAAGTTAATCCCGAATCAGCAGCCAATGAGTGTCACCAACTTGATCCAATCACAGGGAATGCATTGGGCATGCTTGGAGTGGGATCCGGAATCCTTGCCTCCCTTGCCGCCGTTGGATTTCCCGCGCCTGTGCTGATGCAGTTCGCTGGAGTGACGGGCATCGGAGCGGCCATTGGGGCTGTGATCGGCCGTCGTATCACTGCTACAGAGTTGCCGCAGATGGTGGCCATGCTCCACAGCGTCGTTGGACTGGCGGCTGTCCTTACTTCAATCGGCAGCATCCTGAGCGATCCGTCTCATATATCGACGCTGCATCTGGTCACTGGTTATGTGCGTCTGTCGAGTCTGAGCTCGCTGCCACGAGGCTGAATGGTTGTCAGCTTGGTGTGGTAGTCGGCGGCATCACTTTTACTGGATCCATCGTTGCGTTCCTCAAATTGGCTGGGAAAATGGCATCGCGGCCTTTGGCACTCCCCGGGAAACATCTCGTGAACAGCACCTTGCTCGGCTTGAATGGGCTCACTATGGAATGTCCGGTCTCATGAAAGCGTAACAGAAATCTGACCTTGAGTTTCAGGCTGGTTTCTTGGCGGCAGCTCCGACGTCGGTACTGACTGCGGCGACCTTTCTCTCGGCTAGCGCGCTCCTTAGCTTCATCAAAGGCTATACAACCACCGCAGCCATCGGGGGCGCTGATATGCGTTAGCGGCTGGAGCATTTACTCTCCAATCCTAGCTGACCCCGCTGCAGCTGTTGTGATTACCGTGCTCAACGCTTATTCGGGATTCGCTCTCGTTGCAGAAGGCTTTATGCTCGACAACCCTCTGCTGACCACAGGTGACCAGTCGTTTGTTTGCCTGCGTCATTATCAGACCCTGAGATTCTCTAGTGGGATCCCTCATCGGCGTCAGCGGCTCGATTCTGTCGTATATTATGTGCGTGGCGATGAACAGATCGCTCACAAACGTCCTGTTTGGTGGTGCCAGCACCGTGGCCCAAGATACGCAAGAAATGCCGGTGGGGACGATTACCAAGACTTCTGTGGACGACACTGTCGACGCGCTTCTCAATGCGGACACTGTCATTCTGGTTGTAGGGTATGGGATGGCTGCTGGTCGGGCCCAGTATGCCATTGCTGACATCTGCGCCATGCTGCGAGCCAAAGGCATCACGGTCAGATTTGCTATCCATCCTGTCGCCGGAGTACGTGGACAATCAGTCCCCTGTCGCAGCTGGACTGACCTCTCCACCTCTCGCAGCGGATGCCAGGACAAGTGAGTTCCGCCTCTCTGTCAGTGTGATCGTCCATTCTCACACGGCCCAGTGCAATGTGCTTCTGGCAGAAGCATCTGTTCCTTATGACATCGTCTTGTACGTCGTTCGAGACATCTCACTCGGTGAGATGGGCGACTGATCAGCACTGCAGGGAGATGGAGGAGATCAACGAGGATTTCAAGGACACAGATTTGACACTCGTCATTGGAGCGAATGATACTGTCAATCCCATCTCGCTCGAGCCTGGATCGGCCATTGCGGTAGGTCTTTCGTCCCTCCCTCGTTGATCTGCACCAAAGAATAACTCGCAGGGGATGCCCGTATTGCATGCTTGGAAGAGTAAGCAAGTCGTCGTCATGAAGCGGGGCATGTCAAGTGGATATGGTAAGATGAAACGTCCCGCCCACTGCTCTTCTCCTGGATCTGACCTATCTCGATAGCCGACGTGCCGAATCCGATGTTCTTCATGCCCAACACCAAAATGCTGTTTGGAGACGCGAAGGAGACCTGCGACGCCATCAAGCGGGGGCTGGAGTCGCGAGCAAGCAGTTGAATGCGAGTCGAAGCATCTAATTCCCATTTGACCGAAAGGAGAGAGCGTGGTTATGTGGTATCTACATGCATTAGTCCGTGAATTACTTATTTGGTATAAGTACCCGTCGTCGATTATCGCGAGAATAGTAAGGAGTCCTTGCTGTCATCGAAGGACGATCTGCCACCGCCCAACGTGTTCAGAGAGATAGCTGACGACGACCGCGAACTGAAGGTCGACGACAACAGCGACTGGTTCGGTACCACAGCCGGAGACCGCAACGAGCTGGCTGCTCGCCACTTTTCCGGCCAACCCAAGGCCCAAGAAATACTCTCCGCCCGCTTCGGCTGGTGGTTGTATAGCCACGTGGCGACCAGCACGATGAAGGAACCGACGATGAAGCTGAACGTGATCTCGAAGTTGAACAGCGCGACCGATGCGAGGAAGGAGATGACGATGCTCAGACTGGTCGCGAAGCCCTTGAGGATGTTGTCCGAGTACTTGATCACGAGTGCCGTCAGTAGCCCCCCGAACACCTGCACGGACACCGTCGCCCAGGCCCATGCACCGAAGTTGTGGAACAGCGTAGACATGATTCCATCTTGCGGGTTCGACGCGTACAGATAGAACACCGGGGCGAGCGCCGGGAGGACAGAGAACAGCGACAGCTGGACGTTGCGCACCCAGAGGTCGCTCTGCGAGTTCTTCAGCACCATCTCAAAGTACACACCCGCCAGTCCGGACGTGGTGCATGCCGTAGCAACGGCCAGGAACCCCTTCATCGCGTTCATGTCGTGTCCATTGGGCTGTGACGCTGCACCGCCTCCCGCCTGGATCTGGACCGTGGCGACACCGACAGCCAGGAAGAACAGCGCGAACCATTGCGGCGACGTGAGCTTTTTGCGCAGTAGGAGGACCGAGAAGCCCGCGGTCGTCAAGATTTTCATCTGGTAGCTGACTTGGAAGGTGGCGGCCTGCAGGTTGGACACCGCGACGAACTGCAGGTTGTTCTGGATGACTGGAAGGAAACCCGTCTGAGCATCCGTGGTGCCTCGAAGAAAAGTGACGGGGAGAACGCACCGTAAAGGATAGCAGGTATCGACAACTTCCAACAATCCGCGCTGAACACATCTCCGGCTAATCGCTTTAAGCGCGCGCCCAGCGAGCCCAACGCCGAGCCAGGGCCCTCAGACGACACCGACGACGGTTCTTTTATCCGTGCGAATGCAATGACGAGGGATATAGACCCCTTGAGCATCTCGTTCATGAGTACTGCCGTGGCAGGGGAGTAGGCTTCCGACGAAGGCGTGGACACCCGTGAGTAGTGCATTATCAGAGTCAGGAGCGAGTTTTGGACCGCCAGGGTCACCAGGCTGGTGTGGAGATTTAGTCAGTCTGCACGGCAGTCGATGAACGAAGCATACGATAGGTATTTGAGGGGTATCCCCCACAGCGCAGGAACAGCGACTGTGGAATCATTGCCTAGGCCCAGGTCCTGGTCCTTGTCGCTGTCCGGACGCGCGTTGTCGGATATGTTGAGGAGCAGCGACGTCGCAGGACGAGTGGGAGTGGGCATGACAGGGCGTAGCTGAAAGGAAAGTTGCTGCGCTTTATGTGTGTATCTATCCCAAGATTGTCGATCAACCATCATCACATGTCGGAACACACACAGCCCATCTATATACTATACATTACTGAGTGCCTACTTGGCTGGGGGGTGTAAACTACTGCGGCTTTTCCTATCGCTCTCATAGAAATTGCAAATGCTGTATGTGGGGCTGCGGTAGTCGGCGTAAGCGTCTGGATTGACATGCTCCAAGCCCATTTGGGCAAGAGAAGGCAACGGCGGAGGCGAAGGCACGCGAGGTGGCTTGTCATCTGCCCGCTTGTTGGCTGTAGTTTCGTAATCGACCAGCATCAGGCTCCCCAGAGCGGTCGAAGCTTCGGCAGGGGCCACGGCCCGGCTCATTCGGTTGCTGCTGGGAGCAGGCTTCTTGTGAACATTCTTGAATGGCTGTTTTTTCGTCGCGACAACGCTGAGAGAGTCGTCTGGGAATAGCGTGAGCTGGGGGGAGCTAGGATAGATTGTAGCAGGTGAATCAGGCAGCGTCTTCATAGGCCGAGATGTACTGGGTTTGTGACTGTGGCCGGCTTCCAGGCCCTTGCTCCGAGGCATTGAGGATGAACGTGGATGCGAATAGTACGACGACTTGATCGGCGTACGCCCCGCCGGAGTGCTAGCCACGGGAAGGATCGGACTGGGGACTGTGAGACGTGGGGAAGTGACTTGCGCCCCGTCATATGCCAACCCCGTGGAATACCGCGTGCTCCGGGATTGCGAGGGCTCCCTGGGACGATCCCCAAGCGTACTGCTTCGGCTGCGTTTGAGCACCTTAGCTGAACTGATACGTTCGAGAACGGGATGTCCATCAGCTGTAAAGGAAGTCACCAGTTGCGAAGCAGGGTAGATCGAGGCTGAAGAGACGGAGAATCGGCTGGCAGCCCGGCTCAAAGCATTTTGGACCTGGAGAGGATAGTTGCTAGGCTGACATCGCTCTGCAGAATCCCCGGGATGCGTATTCTTCTCGTTCATACGTTGGGATTCGGCCACGACACTAGGCACAACGGTGCTGGTCACATTGGTGGTTCCTGAGGTCGGATATTGCGTCCAGTTCCAGATGCCGCTGTTCTCCGGTCGTTCAGACATGCGCTCCTTCCCACCGAACACGGGCGATTCCTCCGGCTTCCCGAGGTCCTTTTCGTCCTCCTCGGAGAAACGTGCGTCCAGAATAGGCCTGGACGGTACCGGTCGAGGTTTTCGAGCAGGACGAGAGCACAACTTGATGAAGACGAATAGTGAGAGAAAAAGAAACGCTCCGGCAACAGCGATCAGAGAGATGGCGCCGACAGAGAGTCCATGTGAAGGCACTGTTGCCTGTCGATGTTTCCAAGCAGCGCTTGATGTAGCATTGGGCGAGGAAGCGACCGGACTCGAAGCAAGACCCAGAGAGCGGATCGGGGGTAGAGTTGTAAGGGGTAAGACGAGGCTAGAGTGTGTTTCAGTTGAGACAGTGCTGGAACTAGATGGCACTGTAGTCGTCGGAGAATTTTCCGCTTCACGCTGTGCAGTTGTGGGGACTCCAGTATCAGGAACGGGGTTCGGAACTGCCGTCCATGGCTCGCTGATGTCCACTCGCTGTGTCTTCGCGTCGGCTTTTGCAATGAGATCCTCGATTTGCTTATGTGACAAGGGAGTAGGTTTTGCAGGTTTGCTATAGCTTCGCACTAGGCGTTTAGAGATGGTTGGTCTTGGGTCTTGCAAAGGAGTTGAGTCTAGGTTTGAGGCGGGCCTGTGCCACGGAGTAGGAGGCATTGCACACAAGGGGTATGCGGATCGGATGACAGTTGGTGGACAGACCAGCGGGACTTGCCGACATGAGGCGCGACTGTCACGTGTGCGTACATTGCTCGCGAAACTCCTCTTGGCCTGGACTTCAGAACAAAACACTACTTGTTTCTTAACTATTCCTTTCTTGATTGAAGACACGCATTGCCACCCCATCTAATATCGTCTTCGATCTCTATTCTACCAACCTCCGTCGTCAACCCTTCACAACACCCTACCAATCTTCAGGCTGCCGTGGTGGGTGAGTGGAGCAGGAGATATGGGACGGCTGTACAAAAGGCAGGACTTCGAGTGAGTCGAGACTCGATTTCCAGTTCAACCTCTCTCTCTAAGGCCGCGATAGTGAGGAGGAATCTCAAGTCCACGGAATCACCGAGAACATGACGAAATCTCTCGAAGAGGACGCGATACATGGACAGGAATCTTCTAATTTGATGGAAGGATATGTAGAGGTCCGCGACAACACTTCTACCTCGAGGACTCATCAGCTCACGGACCTCTTCCCTGACCTCTACCCTCTTCAGACTCAAGTCATGGACGACGACGGAAATGTGGTTGGCGGCCATGCGTCTCAGAAGGAGAATGTACAGAGCGCTTTGAGTTTTTCCACGGGACCGCAGATCGACAGTGGTTTGCCACCGTCGTCTCGACTCAGTTCGCCGCAATCTCGAATCAAGGTAAGCCAAGTCGCGTCGCTGGTTCTCTTCTCAAGTGTTATCAGCCCATGTCGACGACCGATGGCAATGCTCGAACTAATGGCTGCTTACGCACCCCGAACTCTGCTGCACGTTCTCGAAATCAGCAGATTGAGGAGTGGCCCGGTCATTTCTCTCGAGCCCTTGACAAGCAAAACTTGGGTACTGTCCTCGTCGCATCGACTCCCAGTGGCTCGCCTTCCGGCTCTCAGGAGCACCTGGAGACTCAGCCGGAAGAGACGCACGAGAAGACTCAGCTAGTTACACAGCACGGGCCCAGCCAGGAGTCGAACAGCTATCAGACCAGTTCTCCATCTTCAAGCTATTTGCACATGTACGATCGACGGTCGACGGAACCAGAGCCCACCCAAGTCATCGAGGTTGCCCAGATTCGGCGTGGCTGTCTGCCCACCCAGTACTTGTCGGGATATACTGAGGAGAATACGGCGGCTGATCGGCAGGCTACTCAACCGTGGGATTCCGAAGCAGATGAACCCAAACCTCGAGCCTCCGTGAACCCTCGCCCTCGCTCTCTTCTCGACTCTCTAGCCGCTGGGAAACGAGAGAAGTACGGTGCGACGGCTCAAGTCGTTGCCAGAGCTCGCGACTTGGGAGCTTCAGCACCACCTCAGGCCCAGTCAGGACCAAATTCAGACACCGAACCAGACTCTGACTCGGAAGCCGCTGCTCGAAGAACATCTGCCTTGACGAAAGAAAGCGTGCGAGAGGAGGAAGAGGAAGAGGAGGAACAGCAGCAGGGTAACGATTGCGATGACGACGTTGAAGAAGAGGAACCGGAAATGCCATTGGCCTCGGTTTTCGAGGACAACGCAGAGCTGAAAGGCAAGGGAAAGGGAAAGGCGAAGGGGAAAGGCAAGGTGTCGGTTTCGAGAAAGACTAAGGTACCCGATCTGTCGGAGCTGTGGACGACTTTTGCTCAACCTTAGCAGGTCGCATCTGCTTCTGCCAAAAAGAGCGAGAATCAACAGCGTGGCCAGTGCAAAGCGAAAGCTACGCCGAAAAGCTCTGGAAGGCCGAAGAGAAACGTGACCAAAAGCTCTCGTGCTGAGGATGACGACGACGACGACGATAATGATGATGTAGAGTTCGCTGCAGGCCCTAGCAAGAAGCGCAAACGCTTTGCAGGCGTTCAAAGCCCAGCTCCTCCGAAGAGTGTCTCTGCTTCTCGAACCAAGAAGCGAGCTCGCACAGAGTCGAGCCCATCCAACGAATTGACCGATCTCTCAGCCGGCACTGCCATATTCACCTTCTGGTTCCAGACCAGCTTCTACTATGTCGCGCGGGTGTTATGTCCATCGAATGAGGGCAAGTACAAGATACGCTTCGCGGATGGAAAGGAGTGCTGCATTGGTCTCCGGCAGATGCGGCTGTTCCAGATCCGTAAGGGCGAGCGCATTCTCGTCACGACGAAACATGCGGCAGCGATCGCGCTCGCGACAGTCCAAAGCGACGCCGAAACAGTTCCTGTTCGAATGGTGGCGAGCGGGAAGCAACTTGATGTGCCGATGGCCATGGTTCACATCGACGCAGTTGTCTACGATTCGCGACGTTCTGTCGATGCGGATGAACTCAAATTCTGCCAAGTGTCAGCCAAGGAAGCGTCATGTTTTTCTGGCTGCGTTTTTCTCTTTACGCTCGTCGACGACGTCAAGAAGAAGAAGATCTCGGATGTGATATGGGAACAGGGGGGCACAGTGTGTGCCGAATGGCCGGAAGTGATTGCAATTACAGAGGACAGGAAGCCAAACCGCATCGTGCTCCAGCAGCAGCAAATATCTCCCAATATCCCCCTCGGAAACAGATTGTTTGTCCTGTCCGAGCAAGCGGTGGCGTCGTCGAAATACATGTTCGCACTTGCTCTGGGGGTCCCGTGTCTGCACGTGGACGTCATAGAGGCAATCGTGGACGCACGAAGCTTCGACGTGTGGACCAAATATCTGCTCCCTGCCGGTCTATCGGAGATGTTTGGATGTTCAGTCACGCAAGTTGTGGATCCAGAATGGAATGCCGCGGGACGACAGTTCAAGCAGATCATGAGCAACCCAGTGGCGTTCAAGGTCTTTGCCGATCAACGCGTTCTGTGCGTCGCATCGGAGGTGTTCCGGGACAACCATGTCCACAAAGATCTGCCTCACATCCTGCTCGCCTCGGGGGCGTCCTACGTCGAAGTCGTGCGCGATGCGAAGTACGTCAAGGCGGAATATGATGAATTCGACTACGTCGTCAGTATCACCGGCGCACTTCCGCGCGGAGTGCCTGATGATCTGAGCGTTGTTTCTTGGGACTGGATCAAGGACTCGCTAATCAGTCGCACTCTGGGGCCCATGGAGGTCGACTCGGAGTAACCACTCCTCAATTTTCTGTACACCTTTCTATCATTTGCTGTATATTTCATTTGTATCTCATCTTGTCTTGTATTTGCTGATCTTGCCTGCATGTCTCGATTTCAATCATGTACATACAGTACATAAATTGCGCTATGCTAACCCCTGCTATTACTGCTACTACCATTACCACTACTAGTACTGCTCGTGTCCGCGGTCAGGACAATTTGGCCGCACAGCGATCGCATTTTTTTTCAGAGTCCGAGCTATTCATTTGTCAGTCAGATGTAACCTCGACGAAAAGAAACGGTCCTTCACGTACAACAAGCAAATGAGTCCGACGGGGAATAGCAAGACCGCCGAGATGATACCGCAAACGCCTGCAGAATCTTCAGCATATATCCACATTACAGCCCGATTCGTCTCTTACCGTATTTCCTAGATGGCTGGTGGATGCCTTGAGCACACTGGGCGTACACTGCATGCGGCTTTCAGCGGCATTCTGAACGCCCAGCAAAATGACGTACATTCCGCTCGATACCGCTCTCCGATCTCAAATGCAGTCATGTTCGGGCCGGCACTGAGCTGAGGGGTGGCCATTGGAGGAGGTGTCAGGACAGATTCATAGGTGGGCTGCGCGTATGTCGGCGGCGAGGGCACAGGCATAGGTGCGTATTCTGGCGCTTGAGGTTGCTGAGCGACCGCCGGTCCTGGATAGGGCGTTGATTTCTCTGGAACGGTCATAGTGGTTTGTGGGCTGGGGCGTCGAGTGGGGGCCTTGGCCGGTAAGGCTACAGTTTCATATAGATGCGGGACGCGATCATTCAATTGACATCGGGCCAAGAAAGAGTCGCCATGGAGGGCTGGACTAAGACTTCATTTGGCGGAAGATGAGTGTTCACTATGAGGATGCTACTCTATCACACCCGCTGAGGCTGTGCAATGCCATAGCCTTTGGATCATACACATATCACTGAGATGAAACGGCTGCTAAACTACATTACATGACTCTGAGGTTCATCATACGTCTCCGACTGCTTGGCCTCGCAGTAACAGGGACTGCAGCTCAAGCCGTGGGCCAGTGGACTAGGCGTTCCGGATCAAAATCACGAATCTACATTGAGTGCAAGGCTGTGCAAGGAAGCCACACATCTTGTTGTTCCTGAAAAAGATGCCTATCTCCGTGTTCTGAAGCACAGTCTTTGCGGGACTCACCACAAGTACAGTGCTTTCACTGAATGCCGCTGACGACCAAAAGTTGGATGCGACCGGGAGCAGAGTCACCCTCGAAAGAATTCTGAATTTCAAAATTCAGAGGCTGATACAGGTACTGTAACCGATACACAGGGTTCCTCGCGTGATTTGCCAAGAGAGAGCCAGAAGTCGCGTGAAAGCCAGAAGAGCCGAACGCGCAATGTCACGTCTCGTGATGGTGACGAGTTCGCGGTATCACCACGGGCCTAGATTATGGGCATTAGAAAGCTATTCAGGCGCTGAAACTCATTTTCAGAGCCGCAAATCTCAAAAGCACTTCGTTGAATCGTTTGCTGCTCAAGGCCGAGCACTCCAGGTTCTGAGCGTGCTGTAAATGGGAGTTACATAATCACATCTCGATCTGGGGACGTGGCTATGCATTGAAAGCATTTCGCCGCTCCCTCTTCGATGTGGTCCAGTCTCGCGCTCCCACAGACCCAACTGTGCCTCTCCGCAGTTTTAAAATGCGGACAGTCATTCCGCTGGCTTGCGTCCGGCACGCATTCCAGCCAACAGCCACAAGAATATCATCTCTGTTTGCGTGATCGCGTGATATGTCTCAAGCAGGACGCGTCGACTCTCTTCTACCGCGCGATCTTCCCGGACCCGCAGCCGTCCTCGCTGCAGCTGCCCTTACGACAGGCCGAGACGCTGCTATGGCTGAACGAGTACTTCCAGCTGGACGTGGATCTGGAGAAGCTGTATGGGGAGTGGGCCACTCGAGACAAGGTGTTCTCCTCGATGGAGATGCGATTCCCAGGTGCGTCGAAACGCGTTCCAAATCTACTGCACTACTTATACATGTTGAATGCTAGGGATACGCATGCTGAGACAGGTCAGTCGTGCTCGAATGAGTGAGCACTAAGCTTATGCTCTCTTAAACCCAGGATCCCTTCGAAAACCTGATCTCGTGAGTGATTCTTGTATTCTCGATCGAATTTCCTCGAGAAAATGGCCAGATTTATATGCTCCTCGAACAACAACATCGGCCGAATAACGAAAATGGTCCAAAACCTCTGTCGACATTACTCTCCGCCGCTACTCTCGCTCCCAGATCTACAAGAGACGGAAAAGGAGGTGGCATACCATCCTTTTCCGTCTCCGGCTGTGCTAGCCGCGCCTGAAGTCGAAGGTGTGCTGCGCGGACTGGGTTTCGGCTATCGCGCAAAGTTTATTCAACGCACGGCACAAATGTTGATGGAGACGCACGGGTCCTCAGAATCGGCCGAGAAGTTTCTAAAGGGGCTCAGGGATGCTAATACAGACAGTGCGAGGGAGGAGCTCCTCAAGTTCATGGGGGTCGGACGTAAAGTCGCGGATTGCATCCTACTTATGAGCTTGGACAAGGTGGGTCCGTCAGCTGCGCGGTTGGCTGTAGAAAGCTCAATGGAATCCCTGTTCAGAGAGAGGTGATACCGGTGGACACCCACGTGCACCAGATTGCTATCAAATACTACGGACTGAAAGGTTCGTTATCGGGAAAGACGGCCATGACACCCAAACTATATGAAGACATCAACGGAAAGCTGGCTGCCGTTTGGGGAGACTATGCCGGATGGGCGCACTCGGTGAGTTCTGCTCGGCATAGTCGATGCGCAGGGAACTACAATCCGCATCCGCAGATTCTTTTCACGTCCGACCTGAAAGCGTTCGCCTCGTATGGCCTCGTAGCACCGAAGGAAGCCGATATCGGCTCGCTTCCTACCCCACCAGCAACACCGATCCCACGCAAGCGGACAAGCGAGGAGCAGGACTCGCCGTTGAAGCCGAGAACAAAGCGACGCAAGACATAGTTGGTATGGACAAGTTGGGCACATGTTTATTATCTATGCATAGACCGCTGCCTCGATCGCAGCGAATAGCCGATAAAAGGTTTCGTCAAACCCTGGCAGCAGTTGGGTCCCCACCACAGCGGCGACTCCAGTCTCGAGATCGAACCAGTATGAGGTATTGGCCCATCCGCCCCCTGTCCATCTCAATCAGAGACGACCCATGGATAGCAGGACGTTGGCCACTCACAAGCAGCGGAGCCCTTCTTCCTGTGGCCGGGGACATCTTCTGTCATGACCACAACACCGCGACCGAAGATCGCTGAACCCTCGGGTATGCCAATGTACGGACTGATTAACGCGGGCAGGCCCAACATCTGCGGCAGTGCCGTGGCAGACATGGCCGGTGAAGTCAGCAGACTGAGCGATTTTCGCGAGATGAGTGGTTTTTCAGCTTTATCATCTGGGGGGGGATCAATCTGGGTGAACTGTCCGGAGCGAAATGCGCGCACTGTGGATCTGGAGCAGGTGGCGCAAGACGGCAAGGTAGTCTTTCTGAGAGGCATACAGCCCTATTCCCCCAAAGAACAGTTTTGCTACGATCGTTCAGCCTCTGGTATCGCGAACAAGATTATCATCATGCGTACTTTCGGCTGGATCCTGAGACATCGGATGCGCTCCGGGCCATGGGACAATCGCGCCCTCGGAATTGCGTTGATGAAGAGGGAGCAGTCTGGCCTTGGTCTCGGGTGTCAGATGGAACGACGCAGTCGTGATGCCGAGGGGCGTGAATATATGCTCTTTGCTGGTGAGAATGAGTTCTAGCTGACACGCCAAGTCAACGAGAGAACACTTGCAAGTATTGGTCCAGAGATTGGCCGGAAACACGCTCGATCAGGAATCCCAGACAGTCACTCGACCAGCCGTACGCGACTGGGAGAAATCTGTGAATGCTAACAATTTCTCCGCCGGGAGTGACTCACATTGCGTGCCAGGCTCAAACCTGAGAGGGACAGCCGGTAGAACGCCCTCTTGCGTATCAGACGACAATGGGATCTGGGGCGTTCAGAAAATGGCGCACCTTGAGCTTGTTGAAGAATTCACTCGTGTCATCAGACGCATAGACATCAGCGTATGCTCGAGGCGGGAAAACGCCAGGCTCGGTGAGTCCATCCAGACTGTAATCGAGTCCACTGGTGTGAGTGAGCAGATGCTCGACCGTTATTTTTGTTGTCGCGGGTCTGCTGGTCTTCGCATCGGGACGGCCATTCGCGTCCACGGTCGTGATGATGATCGGCGCCGATAGCTCGGGCAGGATAGACTCGACCGGCGTATCCAGGGCAATCTTCCCCGCTTCAATCAGCTGGAACGCGGCGATCTATTGACGCCATAGATTGAGTCCCTGACCAAAACAGATACAGCTGGCTCACAAACCGAAGTGATCAATTTCGTCTGACTGCAGATCCAGAAGATGGTCTCCTCGTCGAGTTTCGATTGCGGCACATCGCCGCCGAACCGACTGTAGAGTGTTCCTTCAACATTCGTGATTGTCGTAAAAACGGGGGGTAGAGTGCCGCCCGCAGCAGCATTCGACTGCGACCCGGAGTTGATGAACGGTCAGGAAACAGCTCACTGGACACATACCAAGATACTGTCCAGAGCGGCCGCCTTTCCTTCGGGTAGAGAGAACATGGTTGATGAAGCACTGCTCGTATAGCAAGCCTTTTATGAGGAGCTGATAAGGACCAAGGTGTCGGTGAGTAAGCCTAGTGGTTGTTGGTAATCAATACCGAATCGGACGGGAAATTCTGCTGAGCACCAATGAGCCGAACAAGACATGAGCCATGGAGCTCGACACGGCGAAACTGGTCAACGGGGATACTCATTGAGGGAAATGTCCTATTTTGGGTGGTGCCAAGTCGCCGTTCCTCGCAAGAATGAGCCTAGGAGCCGGTAGTATAGTTCCAAAGACCCGAGGGAGCAGGGCGGAGAGCGTAAGCATACACATCCCAGATCCATCACTTATGAGAAAGCAGCGAGTCAATCGCGTTGTGTCCGATGCTCGAAGGTCGATCATTGATTCAAACCACGTAGAAATAGGACCGATATAGTCAATTCCGGTTGGATTCAGAGCGGCTAGTTGTGAGTCCAGGAGTCACTAAGCACCGAGACAATTTACGCTGCCGTTTATCCAACCGCTCGAGTTCCGTGGCACGGACCAGTCAGCTCCGTTACATACGGCTCATAGTCAGTCCAGAGCCTCACTGGGGGTGATTTTGACGAGTCAGCTTCCTGACATACCTGACTTGGGTATGACGCACACTTCCGCTTGAGGATGGATGTTTACAGCAATAGAGTTTCCATAATAAGCGGTCAAAGCACATTATATTGATAATAAATAGGGTTAGGGTCAGAGCTAACATGGAGCCAAAAAAAAAAAAAAAGGGCCCGCCTAGCCGAGTGGCCGTGGCGGAACAGGAAAATATTGAGACGGTGCATGAGCCGAAGCCCATACAAACCGCAGGCGCACTCTGAATGGACAGGGTCGCCGTGCTATGGAGTGTTCCCACGGCCCAAAAGCCCAGGTCCATGAAGGAGCTTATGCCATCAAGGTAAGTATGCAGAACCGGATCTTGGCAGGTGGTTTATATAGGGCCAGGACGTGCACGGACCATCTGCGCACGGACTCGGTCACGTTATTCGTATATCTGTCACTCAGTCAGCTGTAAAGAACACTGGGCCCTGGCCTGGAGGTTGTAGTATAGAGCCATGTAGTCGATCCAGTCAATGGGGAGGTCACTGAAGTCTTAGAAATCGATGTTCGGTCCCCCGTGCGAAGCAGACATTGCGTACATTGAACTTCATGACAGCACTGATGTGTGACGCGTCTTTCAATCAATCGCCACCATGACCTCGGAGAACGGAAATGATGCTAGCGCAGCGCCTGTTATAACTCCAGAGACAGTGCCGCTTGTGACGTCGCAGACACTCCTCGTCGCGTCCCTCTTATTTGCTGTTCTGTGTCTTGGAAGTGCGGACCTCAACAACTCAGTCGGAAATTCACTCATAATGATTCAGTTCTTGTCTTCTTCACGAGACGGAAATCTCGAGCGAACGGCAAACTACTGCTTCTTGTTGGTGCACCTGATAGTGGGAAGACAGCGATACTGTCCCAGGTACGTGGCGGACTATCCCATCAGCTCGAGCTCGAGCTGAACTTGACCGCGCTCAGCTGGTGTACCGTGAAGCTCTTCCGACACACACGTCGCTCCAAACCAATGCATCCGTTGTCGCCCTTGAGAACAAGTCCCTCACAGTGGTAGACATTCCGGGACACCCGCGGATCCGCAGCCAAGTCAGCGAACACGTCGCGGACGCCAAGACAATCGTTTTCGTTGTCGATGCAAGCACCATCTCAAGGAATGGCCCTGCTGTTGCGGAGTGAGCACTACTCGGCTCGCTTGGCTGTTCCCTTCTGAAATTGAACGTTAGACACCTGCACCTCGTTCTCAACGCGGTCATGTCGCTTCCCCCGTCTCACACCCTGCCCGCGCTCCTCATTCTCGCTCACAAGACCGACTTGATCAAATCAGGTGCAGTCTCGACTGCCGCAGAAGCTCAAGCGATCACCCGTGTCAAGACGATCCTCGAGCGTGAGCTGGAGAAGCGCAAAGTGTCGCAAGCGGGGGGAGTGGGAATCGAGGGGCTCGGGGAAGAGGGCGAGAAGACCGAGATGGGCGGCCTGGAGTCCACCGGTGAGAAGGGCGTCTTCCGTTTTGAATCCTGGGATGGAGGGGACGTGGCGTTCATGGGAACATCAACGAGAAATCAGGGACAGGATTCAGACGGACTCTTGTCATTACGCGGATGGTTGCAGGATAATGCATAGATTTGTAGTAATGTACTTGATGAAGCTATAGGCGAATCTACTTGGAGCATATGGGATGGGTCTGACACTCGCTTCACCATACGATAATTGACGAGTTCTATTACCCATCCACGTTGCTCTGCGCAATCGGAATCACCACTGGTCCTTTCTAATATCAGGCCAGGGTACTGTCTTAGAAGAGTGCGGTGAAGAAGCACGAGAAATTTTCGTTTCTTTTATAGCGTGCTACTTGATCCCATCATCAATGATGCATCATGCACATGCACGCTGCCGTTCTGGAACCCCGGCCCAATTATTATTTCGACGACGGTAACTCTTGCACAGCGCACCTCGACCTTTTGCTTCTTTTCTCGCACTTCTGGTCAAGTGCAGCGTCTGGCTTGCGCTTACAGCTTTGTTGGCAATAGACGACCATGAGTCTCGGCGGTGAGGGTATTCAAATCACCATCCCAGGTGTGTGCATACCGTGCAACATCCATCCGAGTTGCCTTGCTGATCCTGGCAGACTTCGATGAGGAGGAGTTCAATACACCCACTCCGTTTGGGCGAACTGGTGGCAGTGGTGGCCATGGCTTGTTCGGTGGATTTGGGAGCAGTGTTGGTTCGGATTCGCCGACATCCATGACGCCGACCCTCGGTTTCGAGCGAGCTTTCCTGCCCTCGCATTCAAGAGGCGACTCAGTCGCGTCAGAAGACTCGGGGCATTCGATTACGACCCGTTTCACCGCGAAGTCGTCTACTCCGTTCGCGCACTCTGCCCAATCGTCCATTGCGGCGCCGACGGGTTTCACGAAGAAGACGTCGTTCGCCTCAATCCGCGCCGCTTTCAAGAGTGCAGCAAAGTCGAGCGATCCCCCTCCTGTTCCCCACATCGACCACCAGGCGTATCCTGTGCTCAAAAACCCGTTCAATCGTTCCACCACTTCACTGAACCAGTCGCGCGGACCGTCGACTGCCAATTCGTCGTTTATCAGACCTCCGACGCCCGGATCAGGAGACGCTCGACGCCCAACGCGGTCCAAGTCGCATGGATATGCCAAATCGCAGCACTCGCAGACTGGGTCCATCTTCCAGTACTCCGACGGCGGCAGCGACCACGGCCACACGCATGGCTTCTCTTCCTCCTCTCCGCCTCCCGTTCCCAGGATGCCGAATGCATTTGGATTCGCTCCGCGGAGTGAGACGCCTGACTTTGACGATGATAAGGTTGTCATAGATCCCAAGACGCCGTCTGACTACGCCCTGCATGCCGTCTTCATTCGGTTTGCCGCGTCGTGCGAGTCGAAGATTGACATGTTTCTCCAGGAATCTATGGTGCGCGTCATCAGCTGCCATGGCGCCCTCATGCATCTAATCTAGCTGAATACAGGACCAGGAGCCACTACTGGTGGACTTGATGGGGCCCGGGATAGATCCCAAACTAGATGATATCCTCAACTCCCTTGGAAAGATCGCGCAGAAGCACCCCAAGCCTGTGGTGGATTCGATTATGCGCTGGCGACGCAGTCAATCGGAGAATGTCCCCTCTGACGCGATTCGATTCCACGTGGCTTCTTCCCCTGGTCCATCTCGCGGCCGAAATGCTGACATCCCGGCCCTCTTGCATGAGAGGAAGTCGTTGGCGTCCATCTATGTCATGTGCAGGGCCTTGATCGCCGTGTTGCAGACCATATCGAAAGACGCGCTCGGAGAAAGCCTGGGATATAGCTTGGAGGAGACAACGTTCGAACAGTTCAGAAAACCAGATCTGAAGCTCCTCTCGCAGTCTGCCAACCATCGCATCAACGCCGAGTTGTATGCGACACTCCTTGGCCATCTGGCAAATATTCGGTACGCTCACCGGACATGGGTTCGTTAGTCGCACTGACAGTTGGCATTCTAGATTCGTTTCAGTAACCGATCGCTTTCTAGCCGAGCTTGGACCGGTCGCCAATGGGCAAGTGCCCCGGGACCTTGAAATGAAGTATGAAAACCTTGTCAAGGGAATCAATCATATCCAAATCAAGGTATGGCTGCCTGTTCATTGACTGCTGCCAGATACTGAAACCTTGCAGGTTTGGCCGCCGGAAGCTTTTGAAGAAGGTGCCGAGTTCTTGGAATCGCTAGCCAAATCCTTCGTCCAAGCGCATGGCTTCCGATTGAAGACAGCGTTTGCGGAGGCGTTGACAAGAATCTTACATCCTATCAGCAAAGTATGTGCAGCCGGTGTTATTACAGTCCTATGTTCATTATCATCTACAGACCGCTCAAGCTGAGACGAACAATCCACAATGGGCCAAAGCCATTGAGATGATTCACCCGAAAGCCAAGGAGATGATGTCCAAGCCCCGTTATTGGCATGCAGCCTTTCCTCTGGTCATCACCTCACTGTGCATCGCGCCGCAGGCCTACTTTCTCAAGAACTGGGTTTCCTGTTTCGAGACGTCTCTGCCCAGACTCAAGGTATGCAGTAAACTTGGTTTAGGATGATCGCTTGGCTGAAATATCTGACAGGAGAAGGGGTATCGTACAGCCGTTCTGAATGGCATGCTCCGGCTCGTGTGGACTTATCTATACCGGTGCCAGGAATCTGCGTCGACAACGCAAACAAAGCTGGATACTCTGTTTAGGCATTTCTTTCCTGCTGGACGGCAGATCGTGACACCCTCAGAGAACCACCGCGTCGAACCGTTTGTGTATATGGTCCATTTCGCGCTCTCCCGACACTTTGAATTCGGACGGGATCTGTGTCTGGAACTGATGCAGGAGTCGGCCATCATCCAAGCAGGGGGTCTGACTAGCCAGATGGGCCCGGAGCGCACTGCCATTTCAATACAGGCGATCTTGCTTTCTTTGCACGCTATCGAAAAGGATCTCCAGACTCCGACATGGCCAAGCTTGGTGGACTTTTCGGTTTATCCTTCTCCGGATGATTATCCGACTTCGTCTGCTTTTGTTCCACCGACATTACTATCCAAGCCCGGGATCCAAGACCTGTTTGACCGGTGTGGGAAGGTCGTTGGACTGATCGCCGCATCGTGTGCCAGCGCCATCGGTCACATGACCATCTTTGACGAGCAGTGGAGGCTCAACCCTGCGTACGAGGAGTCGCACAACTTCATCGTTCGGCGACACCCGGAGGGAGGGACAGTGGCGTATCCGATGAGCCTCGTCCCGCAGATCGGACTGCTCCAATCCTGTTTCCAGGCATGGCCTCGGTGCCTGCATTCGAGCCTTGACATGGCAGACGCCGTCGATATGCTCATTCGGGGCGTAATTCATGTTGAGCCATTGCTTGGGGAGGTCTCGACGGCTGCGCTGCGGCGATTCATGGATGACCGGACCGCTGCAGCTGTTGTGCTTGGGCGATTGTCTCTCTTCTTGTTTGATCCTGCGCGAATCGCGCAGCAGGGCTCTGGGACCACTATTTTCGTCAGCTCACCCACTGTGCTTAATCTTTGGGCTGGTTTGGTCGACTCTTGGATCCAAGACATGGTCAAGCAATCGGTCGAATCTCTGGCTGAGGACGAACAGACGATCGAACAGCTGTGCGGTCAAATTGAGGCCGGGGCCTTGTTTCTGCTTTCCTCTGAAACGTGGAGCATTCATAGCCTTGGCCTGCGAGTGATTCGTGTTCTCGGACAGCTCGTTGCGCACATATCCCCTGATCAGACTTCGCCCTCGGACATGCCGGTAACCTTCCTGCCCATCGTCGAGCTGCTGCACGGCAAGGGCGGAAACAAGGATTATCTCAAGGGGTATGAAGCTCTGCTGGACCGCGACGAGCTGGAGCGCCTCGAACAGTGGCAGGAGTCCAAGCGAGTGGATGTTCCCCTCCGGATCGCGGACAGTGATACAGACAAGGACCGCAAGATCTGGCGCCATCTCTTCCCCACCTTCATGCGACAGTGCATGGAGCTTTCCTTCCCGTCGGTTGTCTTGTTCCGAGAGACGGTTGTGGCTGCGACGACAAAATACCATCCCATCATCCTGCATCTCGCCGGCCTCAGCAGCAGCCGGCTTCCCTCAGGCCGGGGCCTGGATAAAGACAAAGACAAGGATAAGGATGGCTTTCGACAGGTGAAGGATAACAAGATTGTGCTTGACCAATGGCAAATATGGGTCAAGCTCTTGTGCTCCACCGCCACCATGTCTGAATCGCATCGGGCGATGGCGCAGCTCGGGAGGGATCACTCCCGTGCTCCCTCTGACGCCAATTTCGAGCGCGAGCGGTTTTCGACGATGCGCGGCCTGCTCCGGTATCTGACTCCGTTCTTGGACTCTGAGTACACGCCTTTCCGGGACGCGGCTGTCGTCTGCGTCAGCTCTTTCCCCAACACTGTCTATTCGCAGCTCCTGGATGATCTCAGTCTCCTTGCTGGGCGACAATTCTACGACGAACCGCGGTCCAAGACCGGATCCAATCTTGCGGTGGACCAGGGCCTGTCCACTCCGCGTCTGCAACACGAAGACAAATTCAGACTCAACCCGGCAACGGCCGGCGAACGGACTCGTCGCCAAGAGCGGCTGTATTCCGCTGTGGCTCGAATTTATTTTCTCACTGCACATAATCTCCAGCTGCAGCGGTCCTCGGGGCTGCAGGCGGCGTTGCACAGTGTGCTCAAGTTTGTGCGCAACACTCAGGCATATCTCGCCTCGTCGGACAACCGGGACAACTACAGCTTCCAGAGACTGCGACGGTATTTCTGTGGCACGGTGGAGCTGCTGTTTGACGGGTTCGCAGCTCTCCCTGATTCCGACCGGTTTTTCACAGCGAACATGCATCTGTCGCTCTATCGTCTGTGCGAAGAGTGGTGCCAGTTCGGGCCACAGGCAGAAGGTGTCACCCAGCGGCTCATTCTGATGCAGAGAGCCGCGGCGTCGTCTGCTGCAGAGCTCGATCGCAATCAATCAGTCAGGCGGTTCCAGAACGAGACTCTCCTGCTCTCGTACAGCGCAGTTGGTGCCCTCTCCTCGCTTTGTGTGAGTCGATATTGGGGATACCTGCTCAGAACTAACGTGCCTCTCAGCAAAAGGCATACTTTCCTCCGGAAACCTCCTCTTCCGAATCACCGGTCGATCGGTTTCCTTCCGAATTCCTGCGACCGCTCACTGCACATGCCGTGTTGGACCGAATTGCCGCCATTCTCGCTTGCGATCATGTACCATCGCAAACACGTGGCAAGTGAGTGGCTTTGTCGGTCCATCATCTGTTCGGTCATTTATCGTGTTGCAGGAAGGCGCTGAGGTCTCTTCTCACGGCAAGCGCGACCGATCCATTGCTCCTGGACGAGTCTCTGCGGCGGTCTTTAGTGTTGACCGACAATCTTGACTCGAGCAGTGTTCGATTCTTCCAGGTCTTGGCGGACATCGTGTGCAGCGGAGAGCAGCACGATTTCAGCTTTGCCCAAGTCGTCTGTCTCGGCTTGTCGAATCTGTGCCACCCTCTGCTCGAGATCCGGTCGCATGCGTTCAACATGCTGGAGGCGATCCACCAGCAATCAGGAGGACTGATTCCCATGTCGCATCTGGAAGCCACTGCCACCAGTCTCGCCTCGGGAACGTACATCCACAGCCATCGGCTTGTGTCGGATGCCCTGGCCAACGAACACGGCGATCAAGCTGCGGCCATACTCGCGCAGTTCGCTCATTGGCTTGCCCAAATGCACCACCTGCCTGCTGTGACGAATGTGCCGTTGGTTCTGCTGCAGAGTCTCTCGTTCTGGAGCTCGAACATCGAGCTGATGAACCCAGATAAGACGAGTCTGTCGCACGAAAGCCACTCTGCGCTGTACCACCTGATGAATTTGATGATGCGATATGGCAAGAGCCATACGGAGCAGATGTCCGCGCTGTGGATGCGGCTGGTGGAGCCTCCTCGGCAGTCCAACGGTCATGCCGTTGTCCGCTTCCTTCTGGAACAGTCACAGAAAGTCGGCAGCACTGCATTCATCGACTGCGCAGCCAATGTCGTGGCTTGTCTATGTCAGACCGAGATCGGACGCCCGATCTTCGAGGACCTGTGCTCTGTGATCGAACCTGCGCGGATGTTGCCGGCCATCGACCATAAGCTGGCATTCCCCGAGGCAGATGCGATGGAGCTCTGGGCCGACCTCGACGCCTTATTTGCTTCGGACGAGCCAAAGCTGTCGCTCGGGTCTGCGCAATTCGCATGGCTGTTCCTAGCGGATGTGGCTTTGGAGTGTTATTGGCAACTGCAGTCACAGCTGCCGTCTCTGCTGCACGTCGTGTTCTCCCATGTCGATCATCGCAATGCTCTCGTCCGGTCACGTGCACATCGACTGCTGTTCCAGATACTCAAGTCATGGGCCGCCGGATACGACGAACTGCCGGACAGGGCCGAATATCCTACTCGAGCTGCCATCAAGGCTTCAATTTCTGCGTTGGAGAGCGAAGCGGAGTCGATGTACTGGAAGGAAGAAGAGTCGGGTGTCCAGGTCGAGCCCAAGATGAAATGGCTTTCTGCGCGGGTGGTTGAGATTCTGCTGCCTTTGTGCCCGTCCCTGACGGATGAATGGGGCTCGCTTGCACTGCATTGGGGAACGTCGTGTGCGATACGGGGGACTGCGTTCCGTTCGTTGCAAATTTACCGGGCGATGATGGTGCGCGTCCACCCGAGGGATCTGGGCGAGCTGCTTCCCCGGTTGTCGAATACAATTGCTGCATCGGACGACAATCTGAGATCGTTCACGGCCGAGATTCTGCGCACGATGCATGCCATGATCATGGAAGTCGACTCGGCTGCGCTGCCGCAGATCTTCTGGTCGGCCTGTGCCGCGCTGTCCACGACGGTGGAGCAGGAATTCGTGCACGTGCTGGCGATACTGGACACCCTGATGACCCGTCTTGACTTTGATGACCCTGCGTGTGCCGAGCTGCTGCTCTCGCGACAGCCACTCGGGTGGACAGGCCCTGCATATCTGCAACCTGCTCTTCTCGCCGGTCTGCGCTCCAGCACGACGTATGATGGGACGATGAAGCTCCTGCAGCTGCTCAGCAAAGTGGACGACAGCCGCTTCGTCGATCCGACCCCCGGCCGGCTGCGGGATTTGTATACGGTCATCCTCCCGGCATGCCTGCAGTCCATGTCACCTGACACTCCGAACGATCCGGCTTTGAAGGAATTCGCGGGCAACGTGGCCGTCCTCGCAGAAGGAGACGGGCTGCAGAGCATCCAGCGGATCATGACGTCATTCGCCAAGGGTCATTTCCGCACCAGAGATGACTTCCTTCGGCAGTCCGTCTTCAGTCTCCGGGAGCATTACGGCAGTGAATATTGGACGGAGGTCGTCACTCTCCTTCTGGGCTTGGTGCTCAACCGACAGCGATGGCTGAGAGTCCAGGCCATGCAGATTCTCAAGGTCTTGTTCCAGCAGCGCGAGACTCGGAACCCAGTCGAATTGCTCGGCTCCGAGCTGCTCATGCCTTTGCTGCGCCTGCTCGAGACAGATCTCGCGCCACAGGCTTTGGAAGTTCTGGAGGAGCCCATGGTCATGTCCGGCGGACTTCCGGCCAAGCACGTGCTGCGTATGAGCATGCACGGGCCCCGACAAGCCACGAAAGACGCCAACTCTGCCGCAGTCGTCTTCGGGGTTCCCGAGTTGTCAGGCTGGTGTGTCGCGCAAGCAGACACTCTGCGGAACTCCTGCAGAGCCAATGTGATGGCCGTGTGCGACATGGTGTCACTCCCCACCCGTCCGTCTCGCATCGACTTTGAGCCCGAAGTGGAGGCACTCGCTATCTCTGGGCCCCAGCACGAAGACCTCGGTGGCTTGGTCCAGAATCTGCACGATCTCACGACTTTCTTCCAGGACGACTCCGAGAGGTCCTCCGAGACGGGCTCGTTCACTATCCCTGACAAGCGGCTCGAGGCTCGTGTCGCTGCCATCCTTGCCAAGTCCATCTCCTCCGAGAATATCGCTGACGGACCGCAAACCCCCTTCCGGGACGTCTTCCACGTTGACTCGATGAGCTCTGCGGAAGACTCAGACGAGTACTCTGACTCGGATTCAGAACTAGACGCTTTCATTTACGACTCCCCTGCTATCTATCGCAGTGCACCCAACGGCTTGCGCTTGTAGTCTGTTATCTAGCATCTTGTACACTTCATTGTATCATTACGACCGTCGCAACTAGATTGTATTCGTGGCTCGTGGCAGAGGCCAGGCTCCCCACCATGTGATAGCCACGTAAGCTGTCTTTACTTCAGTCCTTGATTGCTAGCACTTGCTTTCTCCAGTCACTTTCCTCTCCCCCTTCTACTTATCATCTGCGTTTCGCAACACACTCTTCACCATGTTCATCATTAACTGGCTCTGGGATGTGCTCGCTCAGCTCGGTTCGTCGCCTGGTCTCTCTAGAGAAAGACACGCATGCCTAACATTTAACAGGACTGATGCACAAGAATGCTAAAATTCTCTTCCTCGGTTTGGATAACGCTGGAAAGACGGTACGTCGACTGTGGGATGAGTTTCGGGAGAGGGACTGACGTGCTTGGCAAACGGCAGACCCTTCTTCACATGCTCAAGAACGACCGACTTGCGACGCTCCAGCCTACGCTCCACCCAAGTGCGTTTCCCTGTATCTCGTCTTCTCGCTCCACTCATTATAATACAGCGTCGGAGGAGTTGGCTATCGGCAACGTGAAATTCACGACCCACGACTTGGGTGGTCACCAGCAGGGTGTGTCGTGGTTCTCACACTCCGGTTTCCCACTGACGAACATGTTGCACAGCCCGCCGTCTCTGGCGTGACTACTTCCCGGAGGTGGACGCCATCATCTTCCTCGTCGACAGCGCCGACTTTGAGCGCTTCCCCGAGTCGAAAGCCGAGCTCGACGCCCTGCTCGCTATCGAGCAGCTCGCCAAGGTGCCGTTCCTGATCCTGGGCAACAAAATCGACGCGCCGGGTGCCGTGAGCGAGGAGGAGCTCAGACATCACCTGGGGCTCTACCAGACTACCGGCAAGGTGCGTTCTGCGACGTTGTTCTTCGCGTTCGTCTGTGTCTGATAATGCGCCTAGGGCAAGGTCCCTCTCACTGACATCCGGCCCATTGAGCTCTTCATGTGCTCGGTCGTCCAGAGGCAGGGGTACGGAGAAGGTTTCCGCTGGGTGTCACAATACGTGAGTCGGCGCTTCAACGTTGCACCGTATACGCTAACCGCTATTCCAGATCTAAGTCGGAGATGAGACACGTGGAGCGGACTGGTTTTTTTCGTTTACCTTACTTGTTAGTGGTAGTGTCGAGTTCCCGTACTTTGTCTACCGCGTAGATATATATGTTTTTCGACTTGCATGTAGCTGATGCCAACTCTTCCTTCTTTCTTCCATGTCGTGGTGTTGTCCATAGCTCTGCGCGTCGCCCTCATTCTCTACAGCGAATGGCACGACGCGCATTCCGTCGTCAAATATACGGACATCGACTACCGTGTCTTCAGTGACGCTGCACGCTTTCTACTGCACCCGACAAGTGACAACTACGCGCGAGGCAGGTTCGGGTTCGGACTCGGAGAGTGCGTCCGTCTTCCGCAGCCATAGACAGCCGTGGACCTCACACATGTATCCTGCTCCAGTCCATATTCGCGCGAAACCTATCGTTACACGCCGCTGCTTGCCGTGGCCCTTGTTCCCAACGAATTGCTGCACCCCTCGTTCGGGAAATACCTCTTTGCCGCCTGCGATGTGTTAAACGGCTGGCTAATTCATAATCTTCTGCTGAACCGTGTGCTCCCTCGGGCTCTGTCAAACGACCGACGCGCGCGCCTGGCGACTATGTACAGTGCATTGCACCTGCTCAACCCGCTCGTGTTCACGATCTCGACGCGGGGCTCGTCTGAAGCTGTGCTCTCGCTCTTCGTGCTGCTGACGCTGCATACCGCGTTGAACGGGCGGTGGGATGCAGCTGCCGTGCTGATGGGGGCAAGCACTCATTGGAAGATCTATCCGCTGGTCTATGGCGTTGCGTGCCTCGGTGCCATCGGGGGCGTAGGCAATGCGAAGGGAATGAACGACTACGCGAGGGCGCTGGTCAACGCGAAGACGGTGCGCTTTGCGGTGTTAAGTGCGGGAACCTTTGTCTTTCTAGGACTGGGATGTTACGCAGTGTGAGTGTTTCCTGAGTCGTCTTTTGTCAAGTCTAGGTCATTCAATGACGCGAGATAGATGGGGTTATCCGTTCCTCTACGAGTCGTATCTGTACCATGTCCACAGGCTGGACCACAGGCATAACTTCTCGCCGTACTTCTATCTGATCTACCTCACCTACGGGTCCTCCACGGAGAATCTCTCCATTTGGAACAGGATCCTGCGCTCGCCTTTGACCAGCTTCGGCCCGCAGATGGCTCTCACGCTGGGGAGCGGGCTGCTGTTCGGACGTAAGCCTGATGATCTTGTCTTCACCTGGTTCGTGCAGACCGTCGTCTTCGTCGTGTTCAACAAAGTATGCACATCCCAGGTGCGCAGGCTTCGCTCTCCCCCCGGTGTCCGTGTCTGAAAAGATTCCTCCAGTACTTTCTGTGGTATCTTTTGCTGCTTCCCATGCTGCTCCCACAACTCAAAATGACGCGGAGAAGGGCCGCGGGTTGCATCGTTGTCTGGGTCGCTGCCCAGGCTTTGTGGCTAGGAGAAGCCTACAAATTGGAATTTCTGGGACAAGATGTGTTCCATTCTCTATGGGTCCGAGGGCTTGTCTATGTCGGAGGCAATTGTTGGGTGCTTACTCAGATTATGGGAGCCATGTACATAGCCGAATGAAGGAAGCTTCCAGATTTCGCATGCAATAATGTTTTGGATGGGAGAAGATCATTGTGGGTTGCTATAGATTTACAGACATATCTTGAACTTGGGGCGCGACAATGACAAAAGTGAAGAGTGGTGGGTGACATGAATCAAATGCTTATCGGTCCTCAGCCCATTCCTATACTATGATCAGCCGGGAATCGGTGTGGGATACTTCGATGCTCACGTTCTCCTTCTTGATTTGAGCCTAAAAGAGGCTGAGTCAGAGAGCAATGAGGACGAAGCGTGGACACATACCTCTTCCTCGGGCGTGAAGTCGTTGACGATGTTGAAGAGCTTGCGAATTTCCTCGGGAGTCTTGCCCTTGATCATGTTAGCAACGGTCTTGCATCCAACGTCGCTGCTCGGGATGAATAATTAATACACTAGATGACTTGAACACGCGCACAGCAGAGGTTTGATATCGAGGTAGTTGGCAGCCAAGATGATCTCAAAGAGCATCTCCTGGTCGACATTAATGAACTTTTGATCCCATTCAGAGATGTCGGTCGTGCGCTTGCGCGTCTCGTCCTGCGATTGATCGGCATCGGCAGCAGGAAGGGGCTCGCCGCGGTGATGTTCGCAGTATTCCAAAACCTGTCATATTCGGAGTCAACAAGTGCATAGAATGTGCGCTTCCAGGCAAACCTTCTTCAGAACGCTGGAGGACACGTTGGGAAGAGGGATGGGCTGATCGGACTCGCCGACATCTGTGATGGGCTCAGTGGCTAGTCTGGAGATATCTAAGTGTATACAAACCCTCGAGCATGTTCCGGATGAGGACGCTACGTTCAACGATGTCCTTCTCGGTGGTGAACTGCTCATTGTCTGAGGTGACAAGGAGGACCATGGTGGGTGTCAAGGAAGGTTAATGCGTGAGGTGTGTGGAGGAGCAGAAGGGCACGGGCTTTATTTGTTTACTTTCGGCATCATCCGACACCGCTTTTTGTCAATTGACACCACTTGGCACTTGGTGACCACCAAATTCTTGCCTCTAGCTGCTTTCGGCCGTTGCATGCTAGCATGTCGTTCCTAACTCGCTGTCTTGACGCTTGTCGAAACCCGTTCACCTCAATAGGTTTGCTCTTGTCTGCTACGCCTATCCGTTCAGCGCCGACGCGATGATTCCTAGGGTCCGTGCGTACTGCTACCAAACGCGCGGGAGGAACGGTTCACAATCACGGTGGCTCTCCTGGTAAACGTTTGGGGGTGAAAAAATTCTCTGGTGCGAAGACTGCTCGTTTGTCTGCGTGCAAAGCACTCACTATGAGCAGATCAATATGTTATCCCCGGAAACATAATTGTTCGCCAGCGCGGGACTCTCTTCCATCCCGGAGCTCATGTCAGTCTCCTCTCTGCTTCTTCTCTTGCAACATTCTTTTCAACGCTGCCTAGGTCAAAATGGGGCGGGATCATACTATATACGCGATTGCGCCAGGTTTCGTGCGGTTCTACAAGGAGAAATGGATGCGGGGAGAACGCCGGTACGTTGGTCTCGTGCTACAGCGGGGAGAGGTACTACCTCGGGACGAATCCTCGTTTGGCCGCAGCCGGTTCTGTGGGCTAGTGAACTTGAAAAGTGTTACTGCTACAGAAACAATACAGGCATAATACATCATTCTTCTGTTGCGTCTCGATTCACCCGCGTTCCATCGACGTCTACCCAGGATAACATTGGGCAGATATCAGAGTTCTCTCCGAGAACCTTGAGGATTGCCTGCATCGTCCTCGTTGGATGGCTAGTCACCTCAATGTTCTCGATATGGGGCAATGTGCGCAGCAGAAACGATATTCTGTCGCACACCTGGTCTTGGCACTCGAACTTGTGAAACCGCATCACGCGCAAATTGGGACACTTGGGGACCCAAGTGGAGTTGTGAATGGCGTGAAGAAAATCATCGAATGCTCGCCCGTGGAAGACCCCCAGTTCGAGGGTCACCAATGCGGGAGTGTTCAGAGCTTCGAAAAATGGGGCACAGTCACTCTCATCCCCTGCATCCGTCTTGGCTGGGTGGAGCGCTGCGAATTTCAATTCTTGTATGGTCGAAATTCGGGCAGAATCTTGGGCTAGCTGAAGGCGCATGGGTGGAACAACGAAGTCGACGAATTCCAACGTCTGTGGGCCATTGGTGAGCCAATCGTTAAGGTGTCCGTCTCGGTCGATGAGTTGAGCATGTTGGCCTGTCAGTCGCAAGCAGCGTACTTCCCTGAAGGGCCAACGTATCGCACTGGTGCCGGACATCTCCAAGTGCCCCACTCCGTCGACAGACGCGAGTGGAATACAACCACGAAATCCAAGCCCTGCCCGGGGTGGCATGATGGTAATACCCACGACGCCCACATTGGGAAACGACTCGTTTTCCAGGCTGAGCAGCAAGATCCTCCAAACTGCCGAGCTAGCCGTTACTTTGAGAGTGTGGCACCTATAAAGATTCGATTTGAATAGCCCAGTAGCGAACGCTAGCAGGTCCTGAGGGTCAACGACCACCGGGTGTAAATCCAAATTCATTGAGATCAAGCGCTGGCCAGCACGAGCGAGTTGTGCGGAAACCAGGTCAACATGCTTTACATCCGTGTTTCGGATGGTGATGTTGAGCCAAAGACTCGAGTCTCCAAATGCCGCCTCTTTCCATGAGCGACAGACTTGGGAGACTCGATAAAGTTGACGGGTGTCGGATGAGAGATGAGCGAAGATCGAAGCAAGGAGTTCGACGGGAAAGTCCCCGAGTATGACCATGGCTTGAATAGAGAGTTATGGTTCTGCAGAGTATATATATGCGAGTCAGACGAGTCAGTGGTCCACTTCGGAGGAACAATGGGACACCTTGCATCTGCCATTTTAGGCAATCGAAGCATATGACTACCGCTGGAAGGCTTGATTTGTATGATCAGAGGCCCAAACTGCAACGCGAAGCCAAGCGGAATAAGCCGTCGAGATGGATTTAAACGCGCCTGGACCAACCTGTCACGACCACGCGCAAATCATTAATATGTCACGCGCGTGACCGTTCGTGCTTTATCGCATCGCCACAGGGGATGATACATAGCACGTGCTATCTTGGTACTTATCCGCTACTGTGTCCGAGCCTGTCCGAGCACGCGAGCTTATAACCCAGCCCTCTGCACAATCAAGATCGCACCGGTCTCCTCAAGCGCTCATGTCCGCAACCACTAACGCTCCGAAGACTCTGGAAGAGCTCAAAGGCCTCCTGAAAGATGACATCAAGGTCAAAGTCGCAGGTGCGTCACTTCTTTCTCATAACATTGCCTCCTGACATATCTTTCTCGTTAGGTGTTGACGGTAATTGTCCTCAATAGAACCCCTGTTTGCCGTCTAATCTGTGCAGTCGATGGTGTACTTCGGGGGAAGTTCATGTCCAAGGATAAGTTCCTCAGCGCCGCTTCCTCCGACGGGTTTGGGTTCTGTAGCGTGATCTTGTGCGTGGCGGTCGTCATGATCATCTTCGAATGCCGACTATTTATAACCACAGTGGCTGGGACATTCATGACACGACATACTCGCGCGAACTGCTCATCTCCAACAAGGGCAATGGTTATCGAGACCTCATCGCGTCTATTGATCTGTCGACTTATCGCCGCATCCCTTGGGAGAATAACGTGCCATTCTTTCTGGTGTCTTTCCTAGATCCGGACACCCGAGAGCCTATCGTCGTCGATCCTCGTGGAATCATGCGAATCACGGCGGAGAAAGCGGCGGCGGCAGGTAGGCAGTGCATGGCGGGTGTCGAGTTTGAAGTCTGTCATTTCGCTTATCTATGCGCACCGATTCTGACCCGCCTCGAGTACTTCAACTTCAAAGGTAAAGCTAGGATAAGACTGGCGTCTCAACTCCTTGTGACGGCTCCTTTCAGAGAATGCCGTCTCCTTGGCGGAGAAGAAGTTTTCGAATCTGGAGCCATTGACACCAGGAAGCGAGTACTTTGTGCGGCGACAACAGGACAATCGGGCTGACAATGCGTGCAGTGCACGGATACTCGATGCTTCGCACTCAGCTCAACAACGACTATTTTCACGATCTTTTTGACAGGAGCGCTGACTTCGATATTGATATTGAGGGACACCGTCAGTATCTTCGTTTCTATACGCTGAACTAAGCTTATCTGATCTGACAGACACGGAGACGGGCCCCGGTGTTTATGAAACAGCGTTGGCATATACCTCGGCACTTCGCATGGCCGATAATGCGATTTTGTTCAAGTATCTGGCAAAAAGCATTGGGATGCAGCGGGGTGTAGTCCCAAGCTTTATGGCTAAGCCCTGGGGTAATGTACGTGTCGGTGTTTGATGAATTGATTCATCACTGAATTGGCGCAGCTTCCAGGATGCAGCGGGTAGGAACTCACTCCTCTTGGTATGAACCGACTCGTTTGTGATGGTCTACAGACACATCCACGTCTCGTTACGAGACAGCGAGGGGAAGAACATCTTTGCCGTATCAGAGTCTGAACTTGCTACCGGCCGCAGTGACGCAGCGTTCGATGACACCAAGTTCATGAGCAAGGAGGGCGAAGCTTTTCTAGCGGGAGTCTTGGACGGAATTGCTGACGGTCTGTGGAGTCCTGTTCTTCTACTTGCGTGTGTGTAACTTAAAATCTGCCCACAGTCGTGCCTCTGGTCGGTCGCTGAGACAATGCTTGCTTTAGTGCTGAATGTAGCTTGCAGCTCGTGCCAACAATCAATGGTTATAAACGTCTTGTAGGCGGGGCTGCATTTTGGGCGCCGAATGCTGTAACCTATGGTTATGACTCGCGAGCAGCCTCCATCCGGGTCATCTCACCACCTTCCGTCCCACCTTCTGCGACGAGACTCGAAATCCGGATCCCCGGAGCTGACATGAACCCATATTTTGCGCTCAGCGCTGCGTTTTTGTTGGGTCTCAGGGGTATCGAGAAGCAGCTCAAGCTCGAAATACCGCCCATCAGCCATTTCACTCCGGAAGACAGACTTTCCGGCAAGGTCGGTGCATGAGAAGAATGACTTCGTACATACAGCTGATCCTTCCGCCTGCAGGTCAAGATGTTACCGGTTTCTCTTGAATCCGCAAATGCCCGGATGATGCAGCCCAACAGTGTTGCTCGCCAGATATTCGGCGATCTGTTCGTTGATCACTTCGGCGGCACCCGAGAGCATGAAGTCAACTTGTGGAATGCGGCTGTGACCAGTTGGGAAGGAAAGTGAAGTCATGGGGCAAGGAATTGTGCACTGATTGATTCTGCAGTCGAGCGATACATAGAACTGGTCTAAGCAACATCACTCTTAGGGAGACTCGACAGCCATTTCATGAAATGAGGAACATCCTGGATATAATTTTGAATGCGAGTGTGTATTGAAGGACACTGAATTACCTCGGCTATCTTCGAGTCCATGCTCTTCTCGACGAAATACGTTGGAATGCTGCCTCCCGGTGTGCTTGAGGTTGCCATTCGCCATTCCAGACTCCCATCCTCCAACTCCAGCAGTCGCTCGACCGAGACGTACCTTCCTTTCACACCTTTCTCCTCCAGTTTACTTAGTTCTGTGTCCTCGCTCAAGTCAACGGGGATCGACACGATGATCCTGAAAACAACATAAATATGTGTATCTGTGATGCAGGAAATGGACAGTACGAACCCAGTGCGCGGTTTACTTTCTTCCAGTCGCGTCGTTTGTAGGACGGTGAAGACACGGGGCGAGATGATGGGCGGAGAGAACGTGTAGTACAGAGTCCAGATCTTCTGAGTGGGAGATATCTCCTTCACTTGGGTGACCTTGTGGATGTCAGGTATAAACCTAGCACGAGGCGTTCACTTTCAGGGTTAGAGAAATGCACTCTCAACACACTCTTTCTCGTTGATAGCCTTGTCCTCGCCTGACCGCTGCGGAGTCAGTCTGGGCTCAAGGGCATGCAAATGAGACTATAATACGCACCGAGTTTGGCCCACATCTGCTCGAATGTAGCCTCCTCAGGCTTGTGCACGCTGATTCGGCAGTGCCACGGCGCCCCATCTCCAGGCTCCTTGCCGCGCGACACGGTCTTGACCTGCTTGTGGTAGGTCTTTCCCTCCTTCCACGACGTCGTGGATGCCAGAAGCGCCTCTCCTGCTGCTATTATTTCGTCGTCGGACGGGATAGCAGCGGACTTGAGGGGTGTGATCGTGAGTTGCATAGGGATGGGGAGAGGAAGGAAGATGATCAGGCTATTTTCGTCACGACAACGGAACGTGTATTATCCCTGTCCTCAATAGGCGTATATGATGTCAGCCCTTGTTTGAAGTCTCTCACACCCTTGAGAGCTTCTGCTCTGAACAGAGTACTACTTGGTAGCCAGCACAAAGTAGGTGTCACGACCTGAACTCTCAGAGTCCTTCAGACCCAGATGACATCATTCATGATCTTGATGCTATCAGATTAGATCATGAGTTACCTTGAAGCGAACCGTCGTCTCGAAGTCTCGAACACCGGAAGCACAATCATGAGCTATGCCTTCAGTCTGGACTGTATAACTAAGCACCTGTAATAGCAATCAATGGACTTTTAATCCTCAGTTGTCTCTCTGGTATTGACCCATATACACTGGGTAAATCACAATCGCAAGACGAGCACAGCAGGTTACTGAGATCGATCGCTGAATTTATATCCGGACTATGCAGAGATCCGGTTCGAGAGGGAGTGAATTTGGTGCGGTGTTCCGTAATATGCATTGGGGAGCTGACTCCTCCACCATCAAGGACGAGTACCATGATATGGACTGCAACAGTGGTCGGCGTGTTTTCGATCTTTGTTGCTGTGGCGATCTTGGGATGAGCACTGGCGGTCTAACAGCAAAGAAATTTACATAGACAAATGGAAGGAGATGATGATTACAGATTCTCAATGGTTGAGTGGCGAAACTTGGTCACAGGTCAACAGACATTGATGGAACAGTTCAAAGAAGGCAGAGACCTGGAATGGTTTAGAACCGGATGGATGGTGGGAGACATCGTTGCCTACATTGAGAGACTGGGTGACAAGACAGTTCTTTCCCCCGACTCCCCATGTGTCCTCTCCAAAACCTTGGTAATTCCAGACATCCACAACAGTTTCACCGGATGTGAATGTTGCGGCCAGTTCGACATCGACTCGATACCGCGTGCCAGTGAAAAGTTCTGGCTGCGAGACATAGGCGATTGTCAGTGCGTCATGCAGAGGAGGACCGTCGTTAAAACCGAATGTGCTCTTGTACGACTCGGCGAAGAATCCAATCAGTGTTGACAGCGTGTGCCGCAGGCTCGTTGTCGGTGCGGGGAGAGGCACACTCAAGTCACGAGGGTCCGGCGACGACGGCGACAGAAGACGCGTATGAACGCTATGTGTGACGATGGCGGTGTGTGTTACGTTGATGGGAATCATGGCCTTCCTCACAGGAGTATCCAGAACGATTTGAGCTGCATGAGCTGCAATCCATATTATGCACCGCGCGCGATCTTGTTCTGGAATGAGCCACTCACGGTCGCATAATATATTGTACTCTGCAAATGTTGTTGTCATGAGCCTCTCATCGCTAACCGATCCATGACACGCACCAGCAACAGCCGACCGATTGCCCAAGCCAACTCCACCCCCCATGACTGGAAAGTTTCACTGGCAAGTCCGGCAAAGCAAACGAATCTGCACGTACACACGAACTCTTCCACAGCGATCAACAGATCTGGATACACCGACGCGAACAACGCGATGTTGGTCATCGGACCGCTGGAGATGATAGTGACCTTGGACCCCATCCCATTATTCCACGTCCGTTTCACATGGTGTGACATCCCCTCGAGGGCTCTCACCACCGCCCCCTCGGCATCCCGTGCAATCCACTGCTGGACCTCAGCACTGGCTGGATCTGGCAGACCCACGACACCCCCGAGACCGTCGACACCGTGGATTTCTGGGTCGTGCTTCGCGGGGCGCAGGAGAGGCTTGGTCGCCCCGGGGTAGACGCGCATATCCGGATACACCGCGGCCGCACCGAACGCGTGTAGACATCTCGCTGCGTTGAGCATCGTCCAGTCGCTGCTCGCATTTCCATGGGTCTGACTGAGGTTACTTCCGCGTCGACGGCTTGATGATGGCAATCCTGCTATACCGTCGAGATCCCCAAGGGCGTGATATTGGGCGCGTGGAGGGCTAGGAGGATCGCGGTGGCATCATCGTGGCCCTATTTTCGTGGGTAAGTTGATTGAGAAGAGACGAGGACTGCGGGACGGACAGGATCTACGTCGAGCCAAACGTACTTCATGGCACGGTGAGAGATTGCTTTCGGAACATCCGGCCCGGAAATTAGTCCTGATAAGGGACGGCCAGTCACGGTGCTAATTGCTCTAAGTTGTCCCGCACTCTCGTCGAAGCTACGCAAATGAATGGAGTCCTCCTCATCCTTCACCTCGTGCTGTTCTCATGCCCACCTATCTTTGCATTGAACTCCCGGGCTCCGACGCCATTGGGCTCGCTGAAGGCGCGACCCACAGCCGTCCATCGCCCTCGGTCCATGGATCACTTCCACCGCTCGAGATGGCGATCGATCCACCTAGAGCAGACAGAACCCATCGAATGGGATAGAATAGAGGTATCGGGTCCCGACGTAGAGGATAGAGGCACGCTGGCTCAGCTCGCGCGTATGAGCGCCAATGCCTACGCAACGCCAGGGAAGAGTAACTGGTACACCGTCGATGAGGCCTGGAACACTGTGCGTCTTTCCTTCTTCAAGCCTCTAGGTGGATGCTTCTGTATGCTTACTCGGAGACAGAGCTTTCCCTTCGGTTGGGAGGATCCAGAGAATGGGTTCCGGGGCCATGTATTCATCTCGTCGGACAACTCAACCGTTGTCCTTTCTATCAAAGGCACGACACTCAACGGGCCGACTTCGAAGCAGGATAAATTCAACGACAATCTGCTCTTCTCCTGCTGTTGTGCGCGAGTTGACATAAGTTGGGTGTTCCGGAAGGTAAGGGTCTGAGCAGTGTCATCGTGGCATACTCAGTGCATGCCCGACGCTTGCTTAGGTGTGCGATTGCTACAGGAAATCGTTCCGCTGTGATAATACCTGGTGTGTACGCTAGTTGTGCTACTGTACAACACGGCTGATACTCTCCAGTCTGACGAAAGCACTCGTCGAGGAGAGCTTGTTCTATTCGGTTGGTGTGGTAAGTCAAGCCATGCTCAGTTGCGTCTGGAAGCGACTGATACCGATGGAATCTAGCGGCTTGTGAATGATCTCCTCTTCCTGTATCCAACAGCCGATTTGTGGCTGGTCGGTCACAGCCTAGGTCTGTGGCCGAGTTGATTGGTTCTGTAGCCGTTTGCTCAACGTTGACAGGTGGAGCGTTGGCTGCCCTGCTTGGCACTACCTTCGGACTGCCGGCTGTGGCGTTCGAAGCCCCGGGCGAGCGACTGGCTGCGCAGAGACTGCATTTGCCTCTGCCCAAGCCTCCACTGGACAGCTTCCTCCCCGCCATCACGCATGTATATCATAACGCGGACCCGATTCCTCAGGGCACTTGCACAGGCGTCGCTTCTCTGTGCGCTCAGGGCGGCTTTGCTCTCGAGACGCGATGCCATCTCGGCAAGAATGTCGTCTTCGACGTCGTCGACAAGCTGGGCTGGAAAGTAGATCTCAGGACACACGTGATAAAGCGCGTTATCACAGAGGTCCTCGAGGGAAATGACATTGAATGGGAGCCTGGCCGGAGTGTCCCTCAAGCCAAGGCAGATACAGATTGCGTAGTATGCACTTCAGTCACATCTGTTTCCAGATGCTCATCGTTCTCAGGACTGTTTCAAATGGGATTTCGGAGAGTTTGGACCAGGAGACGGTGAAGATCTCATTGAAGCAGGCTTATGATGTAAATGAAGTTCCACCTATTAATCTACCTTGGATATAAACCCGGGCAATATTCCTGTCGTCTCCGCAGAAGAAGAACTGCTCCAGCTTGGCTGGCAGCGAATTCGGAGAGGACCAAATCGCTGGGTTTGTTGCGCTCGCACCCACATTGACGATCAGCGCATCAAAGCTCTTGCCCGCGTCCAGGGTCCCGATGTTGTCGAGACTACAGACACGGGCCCCTCCTTCGGTTGCTAGATACAGTAACGTGGCCACTGAAAGCTGCTTGTTTGTGAAGCCTTCTTCGCCCGGATCTGCCCGTGATTGCATCGCAAGCACCTTGGAAGCAATGCTGCAGTTCTGGATCGCATTCAAGATCGACGGCGAGTATCCACCAGACACGTCTGTGCCAAGTCCCACCTGCGTCGACATCAGCAGACATCAGCTGTGTGGCACACAGTGCGACATACTTTGATCCCATGATCCAGATAGACGCCCACCGGCGCAATCCCACTGTTCAGATTAAAGTTGCTCGTCGGGCAGTGGCTGATCCCAGCGTGCTTCTCGGCGATGAGGTGGATCTCCTCGTCCTCGAGATGAATCGCATGCGCTAAAATGGTGTTGTTCCGCAACAGCCCAAAGTGATCGTACACATGGGTGTACGACGGGCGCTCCGGGAAGAGCGCCTTGGCAAAGACCACCTCCGCTGGGTTCTCTGAGACGTGCGTCTGGATCCGGAGCGTCGGATCAGCCGCAGCCATCTCGCCCAGGGACGCTAGCAAGTCGTCTGAGCATGTGATCGCAAAGCGCGGGGTCAGGATGGGATGCACAAGGCGCGTGTCCGGCGATCCGAGTTTATCTATGTGGGACACGAGGCTCTTGGTAGCCACAATGGACGCTTCGGCCGAGTCCTCGACATAATGCGAAGGAGCGTGGCGATCCATGTTGCATTTCTGAGAAACCAATGAGCCTTGCGATTGAATCGAATAGAAGGGGCAGCCGCAATCACCCCGACAAAAGCTCGTTGTCCTGAATGTCCATTAGCTCGATGCAGAAAGGAGGATCCGACAGCAGTTCTCACCCTGGCGATGTACAATATCCGCTAGGATTTTGGTCCCCTCCACATGGAGAGTTCCGTAGTAGCAGCAGGTCGTTGTCTAGTGTAATCCATGAACCGATCGCAAGTTGCCGTTGAGGTATTGCTCACTCCCGCATCAATCATTCGGCGAACAACGGACGAATACGTCGCATGGGCGAACGCGGGATCAGAAAATCTCGATTCCATGGGGAATCTGCATGCGAGTTCTAGTACAAGGGATACCCATCGGGCGGGCATGGTGGACTGACGTGATCTTTTCTAGCCATTCCTGCCCTCATTGATGAGCGGTGGTATGTAGCCACTAAGACAAGAGGACGACGAACCAGCAACTCATACTGCTGCCCACTATGCACATGCTATCATCAGAACTAGTCATCGGGAGCTTAAGAAAGGACACTTACCTGCCCATATTAGGGACTTGCGGACCATGTGTATGAGTGTCGACGAATCCAGGCATAATAAACTCCCCGTCCCGCAAACAAACGACCTCGACGTCCTCAAAGCCGTGAGCAGCCAGAACCTCTTGGATCCCAGAAGCCGGAACGTCCTCGTCGACCCATGCGATATTTCCATCTCCGCCCACAGCCAGGAGACAAGCAGGCAGGGCCTTGAATAACGTCAAGGAGACCGGATTTATCACGGAGCCGTAGTACACGATCGGCCGCAGCGACATGGTGGTGGTAAGTGACAAGCAGAGCCAGGGGTTGGCATGTCGGCTTCAGACGCGCATATCGGACTGCTGATAACCTTGGCTGCTTCCAAAAGGGGAATCATAGACAACCATGGAGGCGATAGTAGGGTGGATGGATCGATCGACGCGGACATCGACACAAGGGTAGTAAGTACATAGGGGGATACAAGCTAGCATCACGCCGCCGCACGGTCACCTGGCACTTCGACAGATTCCGATGGAGGGTTTGACGTGTAGTGTGAAAACACCAGGATGCTATTCAACGCGTGCAGAGAACTAACTATTCGACGGCAAGTTCGCCCTCCGCAGACTCCGGTTCAAGACCGATCTGCTCCAACAGCTCGTCGTAGCGGATCCGCTGCGTCCGCTTGAGATAACGGAGCAACTTCGCTCGCTGGTGCACAACCTTCCGCAGCGAAAGCTTGTTCTGCACGTCATGCTTGCATCTGGCCAAGTGGTCGAACAGTTTTCGGATCCGATAGGTCAGTATCGCAACTAGACAAACCGTCAGTGCACAATAGACATGGAGAAAAAGTCCGTCCATACTTTGTACTTCGGTGCGGCCAGGGTCGAAGGGATTTTGCGGCGTAGAAAAGGCCAAGATGATCCTCCGGCGATTCTCGTACGCTATTCCCGCAGCGTCAGAGTTCCTGAGGTCAGTGAGCCGTTCAAAGTTGGCCGTGATGATAGCCTGCTTCTTTGCGGCAACTTCAAGGGCCTTCTCCAGTTTATACGGGCTTTTCAGGACCGCAGTGGGAACCTCAGTGCCTCCAGCAGTCGCCGTCGCCGTCGATGGAGGCGTTGCCCTCATCTCAACCTCCTTGGATGCATCAATGAATTTAGGAAGGTCGCGGAATAGCAATTTCTCCTCCGCAGGCCCAATTCCAAACGCTCGGTACAAGACGAACGGAGCCTGCTTCTCCTTATCTTGCCCATTCTCCTGCTTGTCTGTCTGGCTCTCTTTCTTGCCAACGGGGCTCTTTGTTTCGCTCGCGTTCTTCGCGTCACCGTTGGTCTTCACTACGCCAGCGCTCTCTGGTGCGTCGGCGTCCGCTAAAGCGCCGAAACGAGCGGCCTGCGCAGAGAGAACACGTTCCGGGTCGAATGGCTGATTGAGCCAGGATTCGTCGACAAGGGTCTGCGCCAATTTGCACTGCTGCCATTTATCCAGGTCGTTTGGCCGAGTGCCGAGAATGGGACTGGGCCGCGTTTCCTCGAGGTACCGCTCGCGCCGGGCCTTCTCTTCTATGCTTTGCTTCCTCTTGAGTGCGCGAGAGCGGAGTCGAGCGGGGGACGCTGCGTATATTGCCGCCGAGGTGTGGAACAGCGCGGACGAGCTTGCCCCGGTGTGTTTACATGCTGTGATAGGCCGCTTTGAGTCACAATGAAACGAAAAGGACGTGCACGCGTACTCTGCTGCGCACAGAGTCGAAGCATATGGATGGTGAACGCGCTCTATAGGCACGTCAAGGGAAGAGAGGAAAATCAACGACCGTGAGAAACAATTGCCATTTGTGATTTCTGATACTATGTACTGTAAGTATGCTGTGATATATGTTTCCCAAATGTGCCAAATATTCCACATTTCATGTTCCTCTCAACCGGAACCTTCCAAGGGTCTATGAAAAATCTCGTATAGGGCATAAAAGTGCTTACCTCCAGAGTAGACCTTTCCATTGAACATGAGGGCCTGGAATTTGTCGTAGATAGCGAGGACACCAGCACTGGCAACTCCACGCAGGATGTTTGCACCTGCGCCTTTGAAGAGAGCTTTGGGACCTTCACCTACCATGATCTAAATTGCAGACGGTCAACCGCTGCGACTCGGTTTTTAGCAGATAAACGTACCTGGCGAGCCGCATCCAACGTCGATTTGTAGTGGACGCCAGTTCCGGAGGTCATCATCATCCTGCGTCGCACCGTGTCCATCGGATAAGCCTACGCTGCTTTTCAGATCTGGGCAATGGATCTTTGGATGAAACGCGTACCGCAATGCCGGCAACAGTCGTGACGACCCAGCCCAGAGCGAAGGACGCAAGGAAGGAACCCTCCAAAGGTCCCACCAACACAGTCGGCTCTGATCATGATTCATGCGAGTCTGGACGAGCGAATGAACGAAGGGAAGCATACTCAGTGAATCGTAGAATCCGAAATAAGTCCCCCGGTAGACCATGATCCCGACGATCGAGGGGCCAAACCCACGATACAATCCGCGAACGCCATCGGTGGCGAGGGTCTGCTTGTAGACATCGAGCAGACCGTTGAATTGGCGGGTGCCTCCAGGCTTGGTGGACTTGGCGTCACTGCTCAGACGTGTTCGCGCATAATCGAGAGAATAGACGAAAAGGGACGAGGCTGCGCCGGCTCCAGCTCCCGAGGCCATGTTTCCGGCAAACCAAGTCTGGCAAGATTTCAGTCGCAGGCAAACGGATGGCGGATGTGGTACCCAATAGCCTTCCGACTTCTTGAACCCAAACAATGCCTTGAAGTAGTCCTCTACGCAATAAGATTTTCGGCCCGCTGCATTGTGATCGACGTACTGAACGCAAAGTTGAGTGCCTGCGTTGGAAAGTAACGGAGGACATTGGTGCCATTGCCTCGCCAGAGAGCGACCAGACCTTCGTCCTTGTACGTTCGCATAAAGGCATCCCCGATGCCTGTAGCTGGTCAAGACACGAAACACACAGAGTGCTGATCCTACCTTTGTAAGGTGTCGCAAGTCGGCCTTGCTTGATGAGTTCACCTTGGTTTTGGATCATCAACTTGACTCGCTCGATGGGTGCTGCTCCCGTCTTGGATATGGCCTACAGAGCAGTTGGCATGCAGATTGAGGGTCAAGGAACAGAGCCCACAGCAGCGACACCGCCCAGCATGAAGTCAGCTGCCGAATAGTCAGTCAATTGAGGTGCAATAATCGCAAGGCTAACTGACTTGCAAAGTCTCCGACCGATTTACCCTTGGGCTCCGCCATGTTGAGTGAGTGCAGCCATGCGATGAGCACGCGCCACTGCCTGTTTTATATTGTAGATGATTGTCACATCTGGTGCACCAGTTATCGGGAGATCGGACGGATTCGGGACGCCCTGGCTCTCCGCGAAACAGTAAAAATACCCGGGGAGATACGATGATACTCGGTGCCCCTCCGGCTCTGGCCGATCTTATGCTTGAATGGTCGTCTTGTGAAGGTGCAGGATAACATTAAGCACTGTGGTGGAGCACGTGCTGATCGGAAGCCACACAGTGGGTCCGAATGCAAGCCCAAGTGTGTATCCAGGGTTTGCGACTCTAGCACCGAGCAGCATGTTCTCGCGGCGGTCGTCGACAGATCCTCGCAGGATTAGACTGAAATCTGACGAACCAGAGACGTTGTCTGACTCCGTTTTGTAAAAGGACTCAGTCAAGCAGACTAGATCCACCTTAGAAAGCACTGGTCGAAGATGTCAGCCCGAATCGAACGCCGTCATCTTCTTAAGTCGAGTGCACATTCACAACAAGTCTGGATGGCCAGTCCAAGATGCGCGGATGTATAAGTTCCTGGGGCAGGTTCTCCGCATTTTGAGCGGCCATCTAGCCTTAGGTTGCTATGCACATGTTAGCTTCGGGCGCCGACCCCACGCGGGGGTTGCCTCTATCACACGCATCCACAAAAGATGCTTCCCGAGTAGGCGATTATGAAGGCGATGTTGAAGGTTCAAAAGCGACCGTGATGATGTCCCTGATGATATAGTATCTGGCGCCGTCTTTCTACCGCAGTGCGCGAGTCTCCAGGCATCAGCATCACTCGGCGCGAAACGGCGTGTCTGACGAGCGGCAGGGTGAATGGCCGACGCGAGAATGTGGTGGTATGATTTGGGACGTCTGCACACGGGGGAAAGGAGCATCAGAGATGGACAGATTTACGTCATGGAGCGCGTCAGCGTGATCCACCGTGTTTCGTCTTGTTCGCGTGAATTAGACGCGTTCTTACGCGTTCTTACGTGTGCGCTAGCCACCTAGCTCGACCCGCGTGCACTTCCATCTTTTGCTCGCGCTCAAAAGCACGGCGCGCGTCGCACTCGGGAGCAATGAGCTAGGCAGGTCCGGATTTGCCGCAGATCCGACGTGCCTCCAGTTCCATTCCAAATAATCATCTGCTTCGGTCGTTTCCTATGGCCAAATTGTTGCCGGTGTCTGCATCAATCGGGCTGCGTGAAAAGCCGCGAGCTGCTGCAAGACAATCTCCGCTCAGGAGACAAGGATTGAATACACAACTATATTTCAGGGAACACCAGGGGCAACCCGCAGACGCGAAGAGCGGCAAGAAGACTTGGAAGCCCTTGAGCGTAGTCACTCCTCGGTCTTAAGTTTCGGACCCTTCACAATCATCACATTTTTTTAGATTGATCAAGTATAAAGCCAAGGTGTCCTCCAAATCATCTCTCACCCACTTCCAGCGCTGCGCCAGGCGGTTGCTTTCGTCGTCGTCGGTCCCCGTCCCCGGTATGCCTTCTCTTCGCCGCTCCCTTTCTTCGCCTGTGGTTCGCAGCACCCCGTACTCTTCCTCTGGGACGCGCTCCCAGGGCAGCGGTGGTCATCGTCGTTCCTCGGGCTCAGAAACCAACATCAGACGGGTTCTCGCTGATTTGGACTGGTGGAGCGTCACTCAAGGTCAAACGGAGCCTATGCTCCCTGAGCAAGAGCAGGAGGAGGAGGAAGACGCCGACGGCTCCGAACAAGACAACATCCCGGCCGTCACCCCGGCCGGCGTTGATCTTGGTGTTGAGCATCTGGACACGCATGATCTGTGGATCTCTTTTGGGTTGGGTTCGTCGGAAGTACGTATCGCTTTCTCTGTCGCCGACCACCAGTCGAGCTCATGAATGTCCAGGCGCCAGTCGCGGAGATGGCTGCGCTCGCTATCGCGCCAACAACCCCTCGGCGGCATGCGCTCGAGTCTTCGACGTCTTCCCTCGAGTCGACACCCGACAGTTCGGACGCTCAGATAGAGCAGCCGTTCCTAGACGCGTTTGGACTGACTTCGCCCGACGCGCTGGCCCCACCGTCGCCAACCCTGGGGCGCGCGCGTCCTGCATTGCTCGCGAACCTACGCACGCTATCTCTGGTTGATCTGGCCACCTCGTGCGAGCGCTACGCCGACTTTGCGTTGTCGCCGCTCTCGTCATCCGCGTTCCTTTCGGACTGATCGGTGCACCTTCCACACAACTCTGTCAGAAATTCTGGCAGCATCCACGAGCCTAAAACGCGTCTTAGAAAATGTATGCCTTCACGCCAGCCGTCATTCCCCTTCACGAATATCCATTTGCATTCACACCATTCCTACACTCTATTTCTTGCATACACATCTCGCATCGTTCCACGACGACACGACTTTATGACGGCCTCGCGGGTGTTTTATGCGCCCGGGGTTCTATTCATGTCCTTCACACCCATTGGACCCAACGCACGTCCCATTTACCACTTTATTTATCGTTTGCTATCGATTTTGAACCGAGAAAACAACAACCAACATCTGCCATTGTACAACTAGACATGCACTCCTCTGTTCATTCTCCCTTTGGTCAAAATGCTTTCGTTATCTCGATCACGATCCATTACCACGACTTTGCTACGATTTGTCTTGTACCTACCTACTGTATGTACGACCGACAACACACGACCGCTTGTTATTACCACAAATGTTTGCAGACAAGATGAAACAGCCAATGTCATCGCTTCATTCCTGCTATCACCAATGGCCCCGACACTTTGCTCCACTGAGACGTCCCGAGCGGTCCAAACTTAAATTCCACGACAGATTGAGGGGCCGACATAACCGCGGGCTGAGGGTTTCCCATCCGCACTTTCCAGGCATTTCGTATAGCTGTCGATCGGCTTAGCAGCTGACAAGAGATAAATGAGTGTCTCATCTGCGTGATGATCTAACGGGGTATCACACGCACTGTTTCTCGTTCAACGCCATCGGCAATACTGGAGACTATACTCTCCACGACTGAACGGTGATTTCCATGCAACTTGTCATCGCGGAACCGCATGAACCGCCAGTGATTCTTGGATGGGTCCCAATGAACCTCAACAATCCGGTCGTCGTATTGGTCGCCTGAGGCTTTCATGCTACGTTGACGATTGGATGAGCATGGTCAAGGAGAGTGGGGATTGGAAGCACCTCTCCCATTCGCTATCTTCGACATACATCACATCGTACTGTTCGTAGCGCTCGTCCCCACACCACATGTTGAGCACAAACACTGGCTTCGCGTGGAAGTCAGGCTGCGTCGGGTCGTTGGACAACGGTGGGAAGCGCAACACCAACTTGAAGTCGATCGAGTTTTCTGACGGGGGCTTCCATTTGAGACTGCCGCAAGGATGAGTTCAGAAGGCGGCTTGACAGCCGTACACACATGTTAGGATCTGTCCCTGGCGAGTACCGCGCGTTGACACACGTATAGATGAGTCCGTCGCTGCCGTGCTGGAGGTGGGGCATTTCCATGAACACTTGCTCCGCGTTGTACGATGATTTGACGTCCTTCACGCGGATACTATATGGAGAAAATCATGAGCCAAAGAAAGGTAGCGGGGAGTCAACGAACCTACTCGAACAGATGCGACTGAGCGACTTGCGGGTGATCGACTTTCATGCGTGCGAACGGTTTATAGAACCACTCTTTTAGTCTCTGGAAGGTGGTCGGTCAGGTTGCATATTAACTGCTAAACTTACCCCATAACGTTTATCGAGTGGGCGTGACATTATGTTCTGGTCGTTGACTACCAGGCAATCGAAGGCAAGAAAGCGTAATGTTTGCTGTGCCCCGCTTCAGTCAATCCGAAAGTTCTCTTCGCAAGTGGTTGCTCACGGCACGGGTGGTGGGATCAACATCGTATACAAGCTCCCCGTCGACTATCGTATTTTGCAGAGGCTTCGTGGGGTTCTCGTGGTGCGGGAAGTAAATCCCGCGCACATCGTAGTAGTCGTTCTTCCGATCAACCTAATCAAGGTGCATGTGCATTCGAGCGGCCTCGTAACGAAGGTGGCGACGCACGAGATGGACGAACTGACTTCCACTGGGATCCGTAAGCACTACGAGGAGGACACGGACGCCGTCCGACTTTTCGCACACGAAGAAGCTGGAAGGGCACGACAAGAACGAAAGGACCACGTCAATCAGCAACACCAGGTGACATTCAGCAAGCCGGCACTCACTCCTGGTTCTCTAGCTTCGCGAGATCCGCCTGCGCAAAGCTGACCGGCTGACTCCCGGGAAACCTGGAAGTGAGTAAGTGGAATCTAGATGTAACATGGCAGATATCCACCTCTTTGAATCAACACCGCATATGCGTCCAACGGAGTCGCGAAGCCACGCTAGCTGATCACTCGAGTGCGGTATCCGCTCGCCGGGAATGCTGGGGATCATGGGGGCAGCAGAGGCGGGCATCCCGAACGCGTCGAGTATCGAGTTCAATTTGAGGTCAATGTGGGTCAAGGATATCAGGATGCGGTGCGGCCGTGATCGTGACAGTGATTGAGGTCTGGTTGACCGATCACCTGACGCGTTCCCGGTCTTTCAGCAATGACGACCACCACGCGTCGCACCGCGCTGCCACGCGCGACAGCTTCCTCGACGGATCATCTAGCCACCAGGATGGCTGCATTATCACTCACAAAGGCTCAGGCTAGGCCAAAAGGGAAGGAGAAGGAACCACCTGTTGGTACGCGTGCCAAGGTGGGGGTACTGACGCGACGGCGATGGCAAAGAAACCCACCACCACCGCGAGAAGGACTACTCCGGCAGCTAAGAAGGAGAAGGAGAATGAGGCAGCCTGTAGTAAAGAGGCTGTGGTGGTCAAGAAGGAGGGGAAGGGCAAGGGGAAGGAGAAAGCGACGGAAACGCCCGAAGATAGACGTCTGGGCGCGATGCGCGCTGTGAATCAAGCCTCACAGAGTCTCTCTGTCCTGGTGCAGTCTGGATGGAAATACACCTCCGATGCGGGGGGTGCCGCGCAGAAGAAGTCTGCGGCAGCAAGTGCAGCGGATGTGGCACGACATCTTGCAACCCTGCGCGAACTTTCTGACGCTGATGCGATGTTGGACGTCGAGCGCGCAGCGGGAAGCCTCTCAGGGAAACTTGTTGCTTTGGAGATGGTGTGTATCTGTTATTGCCACTCATTATTTACTCAATGACATGCAGTACGACGCCGCCCTTCTCGCATTGCGCGCGATGCATCCAAGACTGTGTCGGCTACTTGGCTTAGCTCCATTGTCAACTAATTCCACGCAGCTCGATCTACTCAGTATATCATTACCCGACGAAGCCACTACTCCTACGCCAACTCTGCTCACCCTCACAACTACATTCCTACTTCACACACTGACTGTCCTCTCGTCCCAGACACCTTCAAAGATTCCCTTGAGCTCGTTCGTGGGCTGTCTCACGTTGTCGTCTTCGACCACGCTGCTCACGTGGGCGCGCCTGATCCCACCACAACACATCGACGCGACACTAACACGCGCGTATAGCTGCGTCGTGCGGCTGGCGGCCACGCCAGGGGTCACACCGAGTCAGGCGTTTGCACTACGGAGGTATGGGCTGGGGTGTCTGGCGCACACGGAGTCGGGGAAGGTCGAGCCCCGGGCGTTCTGGGACCAAGCAACCAAGGCGGCTGGGGCGCTCATCAAAGCTACGGCGGCGACCGAGGTGGATGCAGTGACGACTACGGTGCTCGAAGCGTTCGATGATTTGGTGGGCCGAGCACAGCGGAGGCCAGACGCGGAGGCTTTCATGAGTGGGAAGGCGTTTGCTGCATTTTGTGAGTGCTGGACGAACTGTGCGAATCGAGTGAATGAGTTCTGTCTGATTGGAATACCGATCGCTAATTATAACCGAGCAGACCAGGAATATATCCGCCCTGGGCCAAGTCGCAAATGTTGTGGGGAAGCCATCTGCGGACACGGTGGACCTTTCGGTGCAGTGCACAAAGAGTTGCACTTTGTTTGCACAGATCGCTGCTGCAAAGGAGACAGACCTAATGGATGCTGTAGATTGGGCTGGCGTCACGCTTGTGTTGTCAAACCCTGATCTCCACGGTAAAATGTATCGGGCGATGGAGAAAGCGAGGCGGAGCGTGATCACTTCAGTTGATGAGGGAAACGATGGCGCTGCATTTGTTGAGAAAGTGATGGACGTGCTCGAGTGTTCAGTGCAGCAGGTGTGTTTGTTTTTGAGTGGATGAACCGAACTGACATAATCAGAATGGGACCAACGATACACTGACCTCGCTACTCGACACGATCTTCTCCGTGTCGCGGTGGGCTCTCGCTGGCTCGCCTCCAAAGGCCCACGCGACTCTGACGCGTGCTGTGGCAGCGCTGGACTTGGCAACGGAACGGAAAGCGAACTATGCACGATGTGTTTCTGGCGCATTTCACAACCTAGCAGGGACGCTGTACAACGCGACCAAGTATGGGGCGGCAATCCCGTTCTTGGAGGACGGCTGCAAGCTGGGTGGCAACGCACGGGAGCTGCGCCGTCAGGAACAAATCAAAGACGACAAGAATGCCGACGGGTGGAAACAGCTAGACGAGCAGCTTTGGAGGCGCTGGGAATTGTTAGGGGTCTGCTTCTCTAAATTGGGGAACCGCCGGGTTGTTTGTTCTCAATCAATTCGTGAATGTCAGCTAAACTGGTCTAGTCAGCGCACGCGAGCTTTGTTGAATGCATCAAAGCATTCCCATACGACCTGTATCCGGTATGCCCAAAGTGGTTCGAGTGCTCACCTGCAACGGTGCAGCTGGGCACCATCGTTGACCGGACGACGTACCTGGGCGCGTGCGAATTGTTCCTGGATCCTGGCCAGGTGGTCCTGGTGACAGATCAGCCCCTGCTGCTTGAGCGACAACTGGCGTCGCTGGCGGCTAGCCGATGGAAAGAAGGCGTGCAGCGCGTCATGCAGACTCTGCTGCGTGCGCTGCTGGATGTCAGCAAGGACCGTGCTGGTGTCCTGGTCGCGTGTCTGGAGTTTGGGTATTACACAGGGCTCAGCGTCGTTGATGGCGCCGCGGACGAGGTCGAACTCTTGTGCGCCGATGATCCCACCCGCTTGCACACTCGCGCCTCGGCTCATCTTTGGGCTGCCCTCGATGCCCATAAGCAAGCGGAATCAATGCGGCTCATGTTGAGCTCGCGTGTCGGGTTCTGGAGGGTGCGAACGCTCCGAAGAAAACCGTCGCCTCAAAACCTCTGCGTCGGACAGCAAAAGCGCAGACGCCGAAAGCGCAGTCATCCAAGGCACAGTCATCCAAAGTGCAGACACCGAAAGTGGAAACACCTGCACAGTTGCTCGAGTTACTGCGTATGTGAACATCAAGCTGTTATTCTGTCTTGTAACCTCAAAAATCACCAGATCTTGTTGCCCGGGTGCTGAGTCTTCAACGACATGTGTTGCTCAAGGTAAGGGTGTTGGACATCACGCGACGGCTGCACAGGACTCGGACGCGACTCGGGAGGGACACGTGATCGCGTGCATGGAGCTGGGGATCGAGTACGGGCGACTCGGCAAAACGCGACGGGCGACGGGGCTGTTTACGCAAGCATACGGGTCGCTTGGAGGGGTGCCTGAGGAGCTGTGTGTGTTGGTGTGTTTGCGTTATGCGGAGGCCCTGGTTTTAGCGAACGATGTTGCTAGGAGGTGCGCGCCCTGTTGACGCATCCTTATGGTAACTGACCGACTGTTAGCGTGCAAATCTATACAGAGGCGATGGAGCGCGCACAAATGTCTGAAAGCACGGAAAAGCCAGCAGCCACGACAGTTGAGCGGGTCTATGTGCGAGTTGGACGGCTAGAACGAGCGGCGGGCGGCGAGCGTGTTTGGCCTGATCAGCGCGCGCGAGAAGACATCTTGATGTATGCTGAGGCGATGCTACGTGCGTTGAGGTTGTGGAATCGCGCAGTTGATACCCTGGCACGGCTCTCCCCGACATCAACTCCCGACGATGATCCTTTCTCCGCTTCGACTCCGAGCACCGCGACCAAACCGCGGAGGATTACAGGCATTACCGAGTTTCGTGTCTCTGAGGGTCTTCTGGCGACATTGTTCTCGCTGTGTGAGATGTACAGCGCCAGGGGCTCGGCGCGGGAGGCCGAGTACTTTGCCAGTCAGGCGCATGAGTTGGCGGAAGGTCTGCTGCGATCACGCTGTCCTCGCGTGCAGTGACTCGCAGGGGCGAAATACAGATGCATATGCGCCAGATCACTGAAGCTGAAGCCAGTCTTGCGCTCGCTACCCGGATGGCATCGGCCGAGATGCAGCGGAACTCAAAGGTCTGGCGGGCGATCTCAGTCGCCTACAGGACAGGGATAGTGATGGCTTGTGCTCTCTATGAGCAGGCCTATCAGATCCTGGACGAGGTCGACGGCCAGTTCCGCGCTTTGGAAGTGGAAGGTGAGTTAGTTGTTTGCTCTATCTTATCTTATCTTATCCCGACTCGATCAGGTCACGGCAATCTGCGGAATTCGGTCAAAGCGTGGATGGCGATCTTGTAGCGGATGTTCTGCGGAAAACACATCTGGCTGCTACGCGACAACTCAACTGCATATTCGCTCTTCTCCAGCGCTTCCTCGCTCTGCTGCTTCTTTGCGTAACAATGCCGGAAAAACGTACTCTTAGCCGGCTGACATTGCATCAAGTGTACGACCGTTTCAGGACTGATATGTTCCTCTCCGAGTCGAGTGAGTGTTGCTTCAGTTGCGCCACTGAATTACGAACTAATCAGTCGACTCACAGCTATTGCACTTCCCATGAGTGTTCCTCCGCCGTCCCACGACATCCTGCGCACTCTGGAATCGGCTGAACAGCTCTTCTGGCTTGATCTCACCTTTTCGCACGCACCGGTGATGTGACACGAGTGCGTGACGGGAGTGTGAGTCTGGCTGCTGTGCGCGCGCTGCAG